TTACAACTATTTCATTCATGAGTTCTAGTGTAAGTATTGTAATTCTCTTGTACATTTATGGCATTAATTGCAGGCTAAGCTGAATTCACTTCACTGTCTTATGAGATAATAATTATTCCAAAGGATTTCTTCTGAAGACCTACAAATTACGTAAGATACAAGCAACAGGAGGCCCAATGGACCAGAAACACTCACCTGGTTTATATATACCAGCCAGATTTCATGCCTCTAGGCCTTTTAGTTAGTCGTTTCATGTTTGAAAAAAAAGACCCCTGTGATTTTTTGGGCAAGGTGAGCTAAAAATTAAATATTAGGGACAGCATCAGCTACAAACAGATCTTTGAAAAAACACCAGCTTAGCTTAATTGTTACCTGCTGAATTCTTTACTGAATTACTGTACCTTTTTATAGGAAATTGAAGATTTTTTGTTTCTTCATATGTGGTAATATAAGCTTGGTTACTTTGGTTAACCAACGTTTATTCCAGTCTATAAATTATGTACAGATATAATGAGTCAGTTGCCTGGATTTAGTGATTTATTGCCTGGTCAATGAGTCTTTGAATTAAATGTAATAAACTGTATCATCTTGGAGTAAAATAAGATCATGTCTGTGTTTATATCTTATTTATATTTTGATGACTATTAGGTCATCTGAGACAAAGTCTCATGGTGACCTATTCTAATACCCGTCAGACCGCGTCGTGCATCCGTAAACAATTCAACACTTTTGACTTCTTCTCAAAAATCCCTGATGCAATTTCTATGAAATTTTGCAGAAACCTTCCTTGGCCTAAGATGAACCAAAATTGTGAATTATACGTTCCCCCCCCCCCCTGCGGCCTGAGGGGCAGGGCCAAAAGGGGTAAAATTGACTCAGATTTAAAAAAAATCTCCTTCTCAAGACCCACATATGATAGAATCCAATACTCTTCAGGAATGGAAGCATCTTAAGGTGCTCTACCAAAATTGTGAATTTCATTGCCCTAAGGTCTCACATTTCCCCACGGGGAGGAGTAAAGTTTACTATAGTTTATATAGGAAAACTAGATTTTTTTTAACTTAATTTGTTGAATTTCCATTTGAAATATTTCAAATTTTATTAGAATTATGAATGAAGAATGACGACCCCCCCCCCCCCCACCCCCCTTCAAAGAGGTCAAATTGACTTACATTTAAAAAATCTTCTTCTAAAGACACAGATATGGTATAATCGAATGCTCTTCATGAATAGAAGCATCTTAAGGAGCTTTAATTATGAAAACAAGTCTCACATTTCTTCCAGGGGAGGAATATTTTTTTAGACTTTACTGTAATTTTCGTAGAAAAATTGTATTTTTGAGCATAACATTGGTTATTTCCCACTGGAAATAACTTTATTAGAATTATCAGTATAGGATAAAAGTTTTGAAGGAATGCATGTATTGACACTGTCTATATTCAGTGTCATAATTTGTTTTATTACACTAATAACTATCTTTTAACCTTTATATTAAATATTGCTTATTTCAGGTGACCGTCAAGGCCGCTAGGCCTCTTGTTGTGATTATTATCATCAGTCTCACATTGTACTAAAGAATGCTCTATAATTAGAGCCCACATAAAATGCAGGTGCCATTTATTTTGTTTAATCGCATTGTTGTCTGCCTGCCAGCATAGCAATCACAAGTTGCTTGGCTGTTCTCAATACTTTACAACACAATATTCTTATTAGTCCCTGGGGAAGAAGGAGGTGGGGGAGACTACATTTTCATTTTGATGTTGCATCTGTCTGTCCTTCCATCCATCCTGCTATCTTTACTGGTCTCTATCGCCTACACCACAAGTCATTGGAGCTTCATATTTGGGGAATGGGTTCACCATGGTGAGGCAGTGTGTAATGTAGCAAAAGTAAGTCATTCTGGCATCAAATAGTCCTTTAAACAACTTTTCTGAATAGCCAATAAATTAAAGTATGATAACTGGTCAGTTGTCATGCTGGGGTGATTAACCTTGAGCTTACATTCAGCTACTTCATATAGTTATAACCAAAAGATTGAAGGTAAGACTAATTTGGCTAGATGAGCTTTTCAAGTAGAGTTTGGAAAGTTGGGTAATATTGAGTCTTGAAAGTACATTGTAAAACAAAGGTTATATGAAAATCTGACATGTTGAATGGGTATGTTTTGTGGGCAATCTAAATAATGGAAAATTGGTGGGTTATATAAAACTTTATATATATATATATATATATATATACAGTTCAGATATCAACCAGAGTTATGTTACTTTGCAGTAATCTACTCTAGTGTTTGTTATCAATCAAGACCACCTCATTATTAATATTTACCTGGTGGGTGCATGTTGTTGAAGTAGGAGACACCTGCCGTTATGGAACACCCGGTCTTATACTCCTTGTACTCTCTTAGTGTCGCCATGTAAATCTTTCCATTGTTCATATTTTGCCAAAGTTTGATCAGATATGCAGAGTGTAAATTCACTAGCCTGTCACTCGGGGCTACAAAATTTTCGGCTTGGGCTAGTGGAAGTTACAGGCCCTGTAAACATTAATTTTTTCCTTACCTGACACTGAAGAATTTATGATCATTTCTTATCATAACATCGAAAACATATTACATAAAACAAGAGGCTCATGGGCCTTAATGGTCAACTGACTTCAAAAAATTTCAGCAGAGAGAAGGGTTGTTTTTTCTACTTTGAATGAAATCTTACTTAGAAGCTGTTTTCCATGATGCAGATGATAATTTTGATGAGGAGTAGGTAACTGTAGCAAGTGTAACCTATTTTTTGACACTAAAGTTGGAGCTCAATCTAACTGCTGAAACTTGAAAAGAAGTTTGAAATAGGTGTTGCTCTGGAAACCATGATTGCGCAGTCATGTTACAAAATGGCTTCCTTGGCTGGGGTATCAAATTTTGACAAGGTCGAAAAATAACAATACTTTGTTGGCTACCTTTCTTTAACATTCCCACCAATTTTTAGCTCAATGGCACCAGTCGAACTGGAGAAGAAGTTTAAAATATGTTTTTCAAGATGGCAGCAGCCATCTTGGATTTCAAACAGACCTGAAATATAACAACACTTGTTCAAGACCACCTAAGGGTCACCTCTGACAAGTTTTTAGCTCAATGCCACTGGTGAAACTTGAAAAGTTTGAAATAGGTGTTGCACAGCTGGCAGAATATTTTATATTTTAGCAGCTTAATAGCCATGGGCTAGTGAAATGAAAAAAGGATACACATTAAAAAAGTAAATTGTGGAATGATTTAACTATTGGTAATTAATCTGCATTTTAAAGTAAACTACACCTTTCTACTCTAGCCAAAAGTAGCTTCATGTGTAGGTGAACGGCTGGATTACACAGAGATTATTGGGAAATCTCGACTTGGCTTTAATAGTGACATGTAAATTCAACCTTAGCAATTAATTAATTAATTTATGTACCAAATGGGTATATAGTTTCTGTGTTAAAAATAGTAACAATTTCACTGTAAATTTATTTTGAACATATGTAAGTTGTGGTTTTTTCCCCCCTATCCTGTGAAATTTAGAACTTGAAATATTTCTATAGGAACTAACCATTTACATGTGTTTTGATATACAGTAAGTACACAGACCATACTGCCATTGTCTGGTTCTAACAATAGACACAATTAGCCATTAGGGACACTACCTCCTAATATGTGTCTTTGTTGAAATACATGCGATCTCATTACCATAACTAAATAGATGATCAATTAAGCCTTGGCATTTTGTAATAAGTATATATTTGCCAATATATATACATTGATTTTGCTGACGTACATGAGGACAAAATATTTGGCCGTTGATCATTAGCAACAATGAATGTAGTTAAGTGGGCCACTCGGTATTCATTGAGATGAATTTATCGAGCAATGATAGACGTGTATTTGGTAATCCCCTTCAGAATGAATGATCTTGTGTTTGTGTATATGCTCTTATTCAAATCATTATATGTATTATCATGAACATAAAAAGCAGTTATACAAGACTCAAGACTGAGGTGGTTCTGAGTTTAGTTAAGATTTGTGTTTACTTTTTACGGTGTTTAAGTTTTAAACATTCAAACATTTATATTGTTTCTTGAAGGTAAGATTGTGATGGTACTGCTTTAGTTCATTACAAATTCCATACAGGTCAATTTTTTTTAAGTTTGAAATTAAGACAAATGTGTTTCATATGAAAATAATAATCTGCCAGTAAGGTACATTAATTGGACTTCCATAAATATACAATGTTTATGACTCATGATAATATATGCAGAATTCAAATGTGATGTTTTGAGGTAAAACTGGCTTCTGAAATACTATATTGAGGCTGATAGGGTATGTGATACATGTAATTATATATCATTAATATTAAGTTCATTATCAGGTGATATGTGACATCATTCATAATGCTTAGAGATAGCTTGTTATTGATTAAATATTATTCATAGTCAGATAGTGTAATTGGAATTTTCATCTACTGTTACATGTGGTTGAGTGAAGCTAGCTTACTTTATCTAGAAGCTCAGTAAGTGGAGAGGAATCTTGAAAATTTGGTTATACACAGAAAATTATATTTGTTAGTAGAGCACAGTGGTTTCAGTACACAAAACTGAGACCAATGTCTCATTTAGTTATATATGGCTGCCATCTTGAACATCATGTTATCTGAACAGAAAGTGGTTTCAAAATAGTGTTTCCACTAATGAGTTTGAAGAAGGTCATGAATCAAAATCAGACCTGATTCTGATAAAGGAAAGTGTATTTAGAATTCCCTTTCAGCTTCAAAACCTATATGGGAAGGTCTGAAATAATAAGAAGCAATTATACACAACAGGAACTATTTTTTCCATATCTGATTTTGACAACAAACACAACAGTGATGTAAGATTACATTTTACAAGGTGACATGTATTGAATACCATGATGAATATGATCTTAAACAATTTTTATATCATACACCATATGTAATGTTAATATTGATATGTTTCAGACATGCATGTACTGCTCAGTAGTCTGGATTAGGAATGGAACCACTGTGCCAAGCATTGCTGGTAACAACCTTCCCATCAAAATACCTGTTGTCCTGGAGAAATTTAGATGTCAGCCCACCATAAAGGGACCAACCTTTCTTTAAAGTATGCAGTTTAATCTGTAGATTTGAAATATTGGAAAGACAGTTCAGACTTCTTCCAGGATGAATATAAGAAGATTGCTAAGAAAACGTTTTCGGAGCATCCGCCTCATGGTTTTAGTGGGTGTTTTCCTTATTGGTTACCTTGGATTAATGATAACAGTGAATAATTCACCAGAGAAAGCAGATACCCACAACCTATTAATACAGGAACATGGCGGGAGTCAGCAATATTTGTCCAGGAAACTACAATCAACGAACAGTTCCTCTGATTCTGGTTCGTTATACCCTCCAGAGATTTTCTCTGAGGAGCAGTTGGAACACGGGGCAGTCACACTTCATGTAGTGGGCATGATATACATGTTTGTTGCCCTTGCTATTGTCTGTGATGAATTTTTTGTACCTTCCTTAGGCATCATAACAGAAAGATTGAAAATATCTGAAGATGTAGCTGGAGCAACTTTTATGGCAGCAGGCGGAAGTGCTCCAGAATTGTTCACAAGTTTAATTGGGGTGTTTCTGTCCAAAAGTAACGTTGGTATTGGCACTATAGTGGGATCTGCTGTTTTCAACATTCTCTTTGTGATTGGAATGTGTGCACTGTTCAGTAAGGATGTGTTGACACTGACGTGGTGGCCTCTTTTCAGGGACGTCACCTTCTACAGTATAGATCTCATCTTGTTGATAGTTTTCTTTTTAGATGGAACAATTTATTGGCATGAAGCACTCATTCTACTCTGTGGATATATTGCATATGTCACTTTCATGAAATTTAATGAACAAATTGAGAGATTTGTGAAGTCTAAATTACGGAAGGGATCTAACAAAGTAGGAAGTGCCAGTCATCTACTAAATGAGGTATGTATCTATTTGTTGACTATGCGCTTAATGAGGTTTTCTTATGCCTGGGCATTCAAAGAGTCCGCTGTGTTAGTAATCCTAATGCATTATTAGATGGAAAATAAAAAACTTCTATACATCCTGAAAATTCAAATCTGACTTATATGATTATATCTTGAAAATTCAGATTTTCAGTTTTTCTGTGGACACTTGTCACTTCAAAGCTTGATTTCGAGGGGTTCAAACTATTGCCATTTTCGAGGATGAAAGAAAATTGCAAAATATGGATACATCAAAAAAAAATTGATAAAGAGAAAAATATTTCATAAGTTTGATGAAAAATACATTCTTTTTGCTTTAGACCTTCGGTTAAACTGAAAATGAATCAACAGAAATCAATCTTTAAACAATGATAGAAAGTTATCCTATCATTTAGTCATTCAATGTAAATGAATAGCCATCTAATATGCTTGTATATGATGGCTGTCATGGGCTGTTGATATTACTATATCTCAAAGTTTTTCGGATTTACCTGTATGGCTTTGTAAGTTTTATATTGTAACATGAAAAAACCCAAACACAGTAGTCATAAAACTATGATTTATAAAGTAAGAACTTCCATTTCCAATCTTGTACGAATAACCAGAAATCTGAAATGTTTATTCTTGCAGTTGCTGACGTTTTTAGAACCAGATATGGAAGTGGCAATGCATGTATTGTCATGGAAATATTGATCTTATCAAAAGTATCAATTTATCATTACAGCGCTAACTTCTGTATATTTAGGTCTTGATAAATTACTCTCTTGGGCAATGTTTGAATACTTAATAAAACTAAATACTCCTTAAGTTTGATGTTATGTCTGTGGATATTGTAAATTATGACTGTCAATAAAGGAGTGGTGGGCTTTTGATCGAAGAAGAAATTGATCGAGAAAATAATATTGTGTTTATATAGCAATTATCACAACTGAACTATGATATTATTATCCAGCAATAAGGCCAGGAGGCCAGCAGTTTCCATGTTTTGGTCTAATTATATGCTATTTCAATTTTGATGCCATCTTATTGTTACATGTTAGACTCATATATACTAGTAAAATGGATAGTCATTTGGAAACCTGGGGTTTCATCCGTAGAAAACAATATGCATCAAGTGACACTGAGTAGCAGTGGTTACTCTGTTTTGTTTCTGTGAAGACATTTTTTAATCTGATAAAGTGTAAATTTTCACTGGAATACTTTCAGTAAATTTACATTTGTTTCCTGATTGTCTGAGACAATGTTAAAGCTAAGTGTGCTTCCAAAATTACCACTGCCTTTCCTCATCAATTAAGTATAGGTCAGGAAAAGTTGATGACTGTAACACCTTTGGAAAGAAGTTGTCGATGATTATTGATGGGAAAATGAAATATGAAGATTTAGGATTTTTTGACAAATTTACACCATAAACAATGGTATATATACATGTAAAACCGAAACAGAGAAACATACGTGTAAGGAAGACATTATGGTATATATTGTGGATTTTTAAAAGGAAAGTGTTTCATACTCCTGAAGCTAATTTGGTTGTCTTTATAGTGTCTATGAGATCTAAATAGGAAAACTTCTTTTATTGTAGTCTTATCAGGGTATTTTCCCCCCTTGTCTTTCTAGAAAGAACAGTCTCATGGGTTGGTTTTATCGTTTTGAGAAATCTAAGCTCATTTACCTACAAGCTTAATGGCTGGATAGTGTTTTTTTAATGAATTATTATTCCTTTGTGATATCTTTTGATTCCTGTAATGTTTATGTTTTAGATAGGCAGATGACATGTACCGTTTGACCTTATTCCTTGCTAATATTATGACCATGCACATATAAACCATAGAAAAATTTTGTTCCTACCATGGCAACTGGTCGTTGTAAATATTATGACCATGCACATAAAAACATAGACATATTTTGTTTCTACCATGGCAACTGGTCGTTGCAAATGTTATGACCCTGTATATAAAAACATAGACGTATTTTGTTTCCACCATGTCAACTAGTCTGAGTAATCTGCTATCTAGATAAACATGAACAACATGAATAGCTTTATCTCTAGTGCCATGATATATAATTTATATTAACTTTTACAATCTCTTGGTGACTTGACACAAACTGTCCTTGACATTGTACACTATAGGAAATGATTTTGTAAAAGGAGCAGAAAAATGCTCAGCCAGACCAGGGTTTAAACCTGGAATCTGGCAAACTCTAGATGGAGGCTCAACCGAATGAGGTATCTGGTCCAAAATGATTGACCCAGTCCATTCTGCTGCATAGACATAACTATTTATAGCCCAGGTTAAGGTATCCCCTTGTCAAGCATTCATGAAAAAAGGGTTGGTCACAAAAACCATGTGTAATCAGGAGTAGAAAAATGCAGTCAGAATGTATGATAATATTAAACAACTTCTTTTTTCAGAAAACTCCTAGATCCATGAGTCTCTCCATATTACATTCTGGAGGCAACCGCTATAGACATGGGATCCTGGATCTAATGATTCATACAATAGATCCCCTGCAGAATGGTAGGTCAACAAAACTACCCGTGGTTTTCTTTTAGAATATATTAATAAAATTCTTTTTGATGTGTTTTGCAAAGTAAGCATGATTAAAAGCTTGTTTTGGCAAAACTGGCAAGACAGACTAGATATGTAAATTTGTGTATATATAGGTTTCTGAACCATACCAGTCAATGTCTAGAGGTGGTAGCTGTTTAGTATGTTAATATGTCTGTTAAAGTGTTACATGTATGTTTATGCTGATAAGGAAAATGTCTATATTGTCTACCTCCTCAGCTTACTCAATATTATTGTATTGTGGTGTTATTCATGTTCATTCATGCTAATAAGCCAAAAGACTGAAGACCAATAATCTAAATTGCATGTACATTATCAGTAACTTGGAATTATCAACATTTATCAGTCAGAATTGTACAGAAGCTTGTGCCTTCATTTATCTTGTACAGTGATATGTTTTAAAGAAAAATTCAGTAAACATTTCTGCTTTATTTTCATAGATCCCCTCCCACCCATCTCCTCAAAAAAAAAAAAAACAAAAAAAAACAAACAAAATAATATTTCTTTTTTATTTTGGTAGAAAAAATGAATAGGTACAAACCAATGAACCAATGAGAGACTCTTCTAATTCTTGTTCATAGATTGTCCTCAAAATAGGTGTAAACATGTAAAACCAATATATAATAACCAACTATATCATACTGTAATGGATTCTTAGTAATACATAGACATTGAATGGCCACAAAAAGGCACAAGATTGGTACAATTAAATGTTGATCTGCCAAACTTTAACCGCGCCAAGATGTTTCCAAGGCAGAATTAAATTTGATTAAATTTGGTTGAAAATTAATTCGTTGGAATCTAGATGTGTTTTATAACAATTTTATCTGGTACTCATTATGAGAAAGTATCAGGTTATAAGAAGGGTGAGGGAGTCAATGTAAAATTAATGCCAATTCCCCTTCCTGAACAGGTATTGAAATTACATAACCATGCTCCTGGGTGTGACACAACTTCTAAATTATTCTATCACCTACATCTTAATCCTAACATGCTGCTGATGGGTAATCACGCACATGCTGATCTTTGCGTCTGCGACTTAAAGTTGGGATGCTTGCCTCAAGCTCAACAATGTATCAAACTTGCTTTTGTTAAGTTTTAAGTACATTACATCAATACCTACAGTTCCTCTACCTTGTTTGCAGCAAGAACAGAGGTAGCACTCGCATAATCAAGAGTAGTACTATGGACTTTTAAATGGAGATTTTACTGATTTTTGAGGAAATTTTTGGCAGCAAACGTTAGTGGATAATATTTTCACTAATTTAGTTGTACAATATATACAGAGATGTTAAAGGTCTTCCAGACTAGTTTAAACTGAAAGAATTAACAAAATTGACTTAGGTCATGTCATGATTTTACACTTTGGAGAAAAGGAAAGAAATTTTTGACACTTTAGAAAAAAGAAAAAAGAAAGGATATTGAAATCCTTGGGGAATGAGAAAATACTTCAAATTATCCAGGTTTCAATATAACCAGGGACAATGTTGTTAAACTTTTTTTCACCGTCCTATGAATACCTTATCAATGCGTACCATAGTGTATGGTACAGGTAAAATGTGTATATATGCAACAAATGAAATACAATATATCTGCATTTTAATTAACAGTGTATTGCTTTATTTTTTTTTTGATCTGTCCATAATGCTGTCGAGTAGTGTACTCGCATTGATTCTGAAATCTCTTACAATATCACTTTCAGCTTTTTCATTTCAATCAACAGATCAAATCAGTTCATACTTTTCGTTGATTGTGAGTTGTTAAATGTTTTTTTATTGAGGAAGCCATTACAACTGCCATTCGGTTTTCTTTTCTAATGTAGACTGACTTAGGCGTGTGTCTGAATAGCAAACACAACTCACTGATCACTAATCACAATTTATTTTTGTTGTATCAGACTTCTTAGCTAGCTATTGACATCGTACTTGCCAAAGCGTGATGACACCTTCAATTGTGGGTCAGAGTGGCTTTCAAATTAAGTGGTGTTAAAACAATTACTTTGTGTTGCGGAGGGATGGAATTTATCTTTTAAATAAAGTAGAATTTCAAATTTACAAGTTCAATTTATGCGATATTTAAATACAAAAATTCAAAGACAAAGAAGATATTTGGCCAGGGATTTAATTCTATTTCAAATTAAGCTGTATTCCAATATGTCCGAGTTCAAATTAAGTGGGTTTGACTATGTATTGAATTTGAATTAAAAATTGTATAATTTAGCCATAATTACATAGTTGTTTGGTATAAGGGGATATAATTTAAGTCTAGGGTAAGTGTTGAAATATTTGATTAGGGGTATGGATGTTTTCTACTAAAATTGGTCATCCAGATCTTAAATTTTTTCATCCTAATAAGCGACCACTTTGTAACAAATTTCTAGAAACCCTGGGGTACTAACTATGGTGGATACAGTAATGCTGATATATATTTTTAAAGGAGCAGGTCAGTTAGTGACTTGCACTCTGTTAAATACAGTCTTTTTCACTCAGCCGACATAAAAAAACATGAATTTTTTGCTCAGTTGTTAGAGCGGTGGAATATCGAGGCAGAAACCAGTGTTGGGGTGCTAAACAGATTATATTTGTCTCTGTTCCACTACAATGTACATTTATATAGGTTTAAAACGTCATGTCAATCCCATGGTTAAACATAATATATCTATTGAAATACATAAGAATATGAAATTCTTTTAGCTATAGAGAAAATTGTAATTATCATCTCATTTTTCTTTGCTCTATTTATAGTACGCCATACTAGATGTAAGCCATTTCTATATTTGTGTTTTGTTAAATTGTTGCTGTTTGTTTAGGATGTGTTGATTAGGAGTTTGTATAGTTTTCTTATTTGCTTGTTTTGTTAAGCACATTCAAATTTATAGATGAATTGAAACATGTATTATATGTACAGTAAGACATTAATTCACATTTCTGAACAAAACTTATTGCTATTTAAAACAGTGGAAATATAGAGAGCTAGTCAGATTTATAGTGGGCGGGCAAAGTCAATACTTCCTATGAGTTGCACAGCCGTTCACTTTTCTGTCATCGGCCATATTGCCATCTTTATAATATAAACTTTTGCAGTATAGACAGACATATTAACTACCAATGGGGTATATTTATGTTTTATTCTGTGGTGAATTGATTTCAGTTATTGAAGAAGTTTGATTCCCTGTAACACAAAATGATGTCTCTAAAGGCAGCAGAAGTTGTGAAATAGATGAGTCCACGTTCACTTTACAATAAATGTTCTGAATGGCATGCAACAAGCCTCTCATAAGTTCAGTGAGGTAGCCATCATCTACTACAAGGAGACCCTGCTTCAAAATGAAAAATGACGCTGGCTTGATTCCCTTAGTACTTCATTACAACTAAGACATGTACATGTGATTTCTATTCATCACATAACTCCTATAAATCAACACCAACCATGTAAATAATGATATTATTGTTTAATTTTTAGCTAAAGTTCATGAAAATGCTATGAACTTACATGCTATCGCCACCCTAAAAGTAGTCATTGGGACGACGACGCCCACCCAGAATGAAGAGACCAGCCCAGTAGCCAACGGAGTGGACAAAGATAACAACAAAGTACAGGCTAATGGCCATGTTGCTGTTGAAAATGGCAAGCCAGCTGAAAACACCAATACTGCAGAAACACCTAGCAGCGTGGTTGATTCCCTACCTGAGGTCACCATTGCACCTGCCGAAGAAGGACAAACTGCCGAGGTACGAATTATAAATATAACTTCTGTTTATGGTAAGTGGTAATATTTAAAGTGGTGATAAGTGGTTTCAGTATGGCAGTATTTGCAGGTATTTACAGTTTCCATTTGTCCAGTGATCAGAACGGCAAGCCTAGTCTTGGCTTAAACAGGCCTATTTGGCCGTTACTTGGGTTATCCCTAACTCATTCCATGAAAAATAATCTAGATTAGGTCTTTTGAGGTTTATTGGATTTGGCCTCATCAATGTAGAGGACACTAGAATTGTTTTGGCTTTGTTTGCCGTTCTACCTGGCCAATACTTTGTACCATTTCTGACCTGACATTGTCCTAGTCATAGATGTTCATCATGTAGGTTTGTTGAGTACTATTGATTCAACCTCATCATTATTAACCTACATGTAGGATATTTAATCATTTGGAATTCAGTCAACAAATTTCTAGGTTATCACATTTGCTACACTTTAGATCAAATTTGCTATTTATGAACAAAGTTTATCTGAAATTTGTTTTTCAACATGGTGACTTTATTGAAACATTCTCTATTTATTTATTAAAAAGTTATTGTAATAACTGACTGAAATGAAATTTAAATGACATTTTTGTGAAAATTTAGTCTGAAAATTTTAAGACAAATTTTAAGCTAATTTAACGATGTACATTAACGTATTATAGATACCTTCAGTTTGTGCTGGTCAATTTTAAATGAATTTAACACGAGGAAAAATCTTAGCTTTATGTGTGTGGCATGATAAAATTTTGCTATGCTTATTAGAAAATTACAGGTACTCCTTTTAAATTCTCATAAGATAGCAAAATAGGACTCCTTTGATCCCTCTAGACTTTTCCTCTATGTGGTAATGATGTAAACAAACAGTGGACATATTGTGTTTCTCCATGGGTCAAAACAAATTTTACGATATGGTTAGTAATATTTAATCATTTTGATTCAAGCTTAAAACTTGATATGTATATAGAAAAATTCAGAGTTACACTTCATTTGCATATTTTTTGTCATGCTGCACACATTAATTGCAGTTTTGAAAGTTAGCAGGATTAAAAACTTTCCTTATACCACTCCTGTCAATCCTTATGTAATAATGATATAAAATTATGTTGTTTGTTTTGTGTTATACAGAAGAAATTTTGTGATAGTATCAAAAATTGTTCAGCGCAATCAACTACCTAGATTACAACACATGATATTTTCTAACTGTATTTGTAACAATAAAAAATGTTACTTAATTCTGTTATACATTATTACGTAATAAGATATAATCATTGTTTTATGCAATATGACATAACAATGATAATAGTACTAAAGTGATAGACCTTAGCAATCACCCAAACCTGATGGCCTTTCTGGTTTTAATTTTCATTACTGCGATAGCAGACAGTGTGAGGCAGAAAGATTGCACAATTAAATCCCGAACAAACCTATGTCTTGCAGCAGCCTGATAACTGAACTATTAAGAAATGATATTATATGAAAATGTTGATTTAAAATTTGTGATAAAGTTGAAAGACAAACTTCAAGCTGGTGTACATTAACATATTGTAATTTTCTTTGATGCTACTGGATTCAGGCCATTAGTTACACTATGAATATACCAGCCTGAAAATTTATTCAACAATCAATAGTTTTCCTAATGCTTGTGTAGGCTTCGTTCACCCAGATTAGTTGCTGTGACAGTTAATCAACAGATATTCTAGCCTCACTGCTATTGCAATTTCAACATTATTGATTTCAGCATTTTGCGGTGATATTTTTTGTTTACCTGTATGATATTGTGAAAGAAACCTTGACAACAATTGTTTATTATATTCAACTATTCTAGAGGCCATAAAAGTATTCAATTACTAACAGTAAAGAGTATTCACAAGATGAACAAAACAACTAGATCCTTAGGTTGAGGCTATGGATTATCTGTGCAGGCATATTTCATGTGTAAAGTCTCTGCTGCAATCACGATTATTTAAATGATTAAAACATGAAAAATATTCAAGGAGTTTGTTCAATAATATGTATGAAGTTACGAAACTTGAAACAGTAAAATAATATAAGCCAAACCAAGAACAGGTCAAAGTGTAATACAATTGTAACAGAAGGTATTAATGTAGTACAGTTGTAATTGAAGGCATTTATTACAGAATATAAACATACACTACAACATGTGATAATCTTGCTTACTGAGCTCGGTTGTTAATTCATGATTAAACAAGCTTAGCTTATTTGGCCTTAAAGCATTATCGAATATGTTTGCCAAGGTCCATCATCAGTTATCACCTCAATGTCTGGTATGGTAATTAGAGTACAATAATATCAATATATGTCAATATTTCTTTACAAGAATAATCAATTATCAAAATCATAAAATGTCTATTGATTGGACAGGTATGTTTATATTAAGGAGGTTGATAAAGGTCAGCTTTGTTTACAAGGTTGGTGTGAGTCAGTAATGTTTAGGTCAATTATTGACTGGACATCTAGTTAAGACATTAATTTATGCACTTGAGAAAATACATAAATGGAAAGTCCTGTGAGAAACTGATCTGTGTCCATGTCCAACAAATTGTTGGTTTTGTTATAAGTAGTTACTCATAGAAATCGTCATGATTTCTCTAGTCATTTTCAAAATATTTCTTTTAAATTTCTTAAAGTTTAATTCTATTCAACACAAAATCCCTTTCGAAATGTTGGTGATTATCACACTGAGCTTAAGCCACTGTTGTAAGTTGATTGAAACCAGTGGCATTTTATGTTCAATTCTTCAAAAGAATTATCATTTGAAAAATAGTCTCCAATCAATACTCATTGCAGAACCTTCACTTTATTTGTAAATATCCCTCAGCAATTTCTGCAGGCAGAGCCTGGCTCTGGCTTGACAAACAATCAATAGATTGAAATTATATCAGGCTAATACTGACAGATTTAAACCCAATTTGGCTACTAGAGTTGCCAGTCAATTGATCACGTATTTCCTGGTGATATTGCTTAGCTTTAATGGAGGCTGGCGTGCAGGTGTGATTGTAAAGAATGCTTATCACTGATATATATATACAGTAAAGAAAGAAGTCATTGCAATATTTGAAATAGTTCTAAGAGGGATTTCAATTGATAATTGATGTTATATCTTTTGAAATTAAATCATAGACCCTAATAGTTTCCTAACTCTTTATTAATGACAGATAATGATGTATGTGGTGTGCCACAAACACGAACATTATATTTATATAACTCTATATTAGGTACATATATTGTAATCACACCATCTGTGTCCATGATTCAGAGCACCTCTTCTTGGATTGTTTGTTTTGTATTTGTATCATTCTTAAATTTGGCAGAGAAGGAAAAAATCTTCAAATGCAGATATGCATGCACATGTAGGGAGTTGCAATTCAACAATGCTTGTAGTTATGGTCCATAGTAATGGTTATTGTTGGTGCACCTTACAATGGAGCCAGAGAGCTTCTAATATCCAAATTATTCACTTAGTGGTATAATGCAAAAGCATGTGCCTTGGGATATCAGAAATTGATATTGTCTGTTCATAGCTGGAATGTTAAATTGATAGGTCACTAGGTCAACACATTCTTTGATGATTTGTGCTGATTAATTACTTTTTAGAGAATAGATACACTATCAAATCAAGGAATTGTTTGTAGTGTAATGTCAATAATGGAGCCTGATTTGTTTTAAGTGAAGAAATTAATTAGACTTTAGGTTGGTTCAACTGTTCAGGCAAATTTTGAAAGGATTGAAAATTTAAAGTAAAAGTTTAACAAGTAGAATAATTCTTGCTGGCTTAGTAGATTTAACATGCTCAGAGTAGGTTATTCATAGATTATTTCATTTATCTCAAAATTTGAAAGTAATCATTCAAGCACTTGATCAAACAATCAGTTATGAAAATTTTTGCAACTCAAAAATTGGAACTTAAGACCTAACAACAGACTGCAATGAAAAATCTACTTACAAGTCCACAGTCCAATTCTCATAGAATTTTGATGGGACATAAAGAATGTCTGGAAATACTTAAATTTTACACTGTGGGATCCATTGTTTTTAACAATAAAGTTTGAAAGGATTGGTGAAGATATATAATAGATTGATCACTTCAGAATGCAGAAGATCTTCAGACCATGTTAGGTATACACAATAATATGTTTTTTCTGTGATTACTGAAAAATGTTCATTGATGATTTATTGAAGTAAACTAGATAAAATTGCTGAATGATTAAAGGATTTGAGAATCTGGTGTAACATACGTTTACTTGTTCATTACAGAATGGGTTAGTGGAGGATGAAGAGCCCCTTGACCTAAGCTGGCCAGATAATTGGAAGAAACGCATTAACTACATCATTGTAGCTCCAATAGTATTCTCCCTGTGGATTACACTGCCTGATGTGCGACGAGAGGTAACAGTATAACAAATCATATAAATTCTTTGAGAATTGAACCAAATTAAGGGGATCAATACATAATCTCCAACATGCAATATGGAGATAGGCATATTACTCGAACATGATATAGCATTTGTTGATATTGGAGTTCAATGGTTACATAGGCTACATACTGAATAAATACAGTGAAATAAGATCATTTCATAGATAAAGTTCTGCATGTCCCATAGGGACAGGGCAGATAGAAGGAAAACATGTTTTGATCTAATATTGTTTTCGGCATCTTTAAGTCAATGGATATCAGCATTATTATGTTTGAACTTGATTTGCATTATAAGTAATTTTGTCAGAATCTCTTCATGGCAGAAGAAGCACGAAAGATAACATATAAATGATTTGTCCTTTTTTGACTGATGAAAAAATAGCTGATTTTAATTGCAAGAAACTGTAGACTTTAATTTAAAGAAAGTATTTATTCTCATCTGAAGTAAAAAAAGGTGCTTTTTTATGTTATATTTGGTCTTTAATATTTTTGTTTAAAAGAAAAAAAAAGAAAAAAAAAGCATCTATATAACTTATTGTTGTATTATTGCAGGAGAAGAAGAAGTGGTTCATGGTTACATTCTTCGGCAGTATCTTTTGGATTGGAGCTTTTTCTTATATGATGGTGTGGTGGGCCAACACCACAGGGGAAACAATTGGGCTCAGTCCTGCAGTAAGTCTTGTTTGACATCCTCTTGGTTTCATTCGGAAGTTAGTGCTATAAACATTAGGGCTCAGTAGTTTTTGACCAATATCTGAAAGTTTTAATCTTTTTCTTTATGGACAAGATATTGTATGACATTAAGTCAATGCTATTTTTACAAAAACAAAAACACTACGCAAGTGTAATATCAGTAAGTTTGTTTAAATAAATATATTCAAGGCCTTGGGGTCAAATGTCAAATTGGCATCTTCTCAGAAATCACAAAGCCTAAAGTCGTTTTGTAATTAGTTCTTTCAGATTCAGTGTGTCAGGTTTATTTATACCAATTACATTACTGTTCATGCAAGGATGCAGGATTTGCAAATATTGACTCTTTCACAGGGCAGTGCCTAGAGGTATGGGTGTTGGCTTGTTCATTGATTTGGTCAAATAATCTAGACTTGAGTTTATGGTTACAAGGGTCAAAATCTGAAATGCATCTCAAACTATTTACCGACTTCTTGCACTAATATTATAATTACCTAGTATATTCAATGTAAAGAAACTGTTGTTTATCATCTCATAACACACACAGAAAACACATGATATTTAAATTAAGATAAAACATGAAAAAACAAGTGTATCAGTGAAACTGATGAATGTTCCCCAAAAATGAAATTTTATTTGACACAAAAGGGCAATAAATCTGTATTTATTCTTCGTATGACCAATTTTATACACAAAGTTTCATTATCCTAGTTTAAATGAAAACAAATATATACTAAGACATGAAATTTCAACCAAGGGCACTAACTCTGTAATTAAGGGGTTGTGGGCCTTAACATTGTTACACTGAAATTTTCCATTTCATCATCCTAGTTTAAAAGCAAGCGAAGTGATACTCTGGATACAAAATTTTAATGAAGGGCAATAACTCTATTATCGAGGGGTTGTGGGGCCAGTGTTTGGCAACTTGACAATCTTTCCTTGGGGATTTAGATCCCTTTATTCCTGAATGGAATATATAATTAATTTAATGAATGTCTTACTTTGCTAGCCTTAATATGTATGGGATATTGGTCTTATCTCAATGCTAACCATTGTTGATGTTATATCATTGAAATGTTGAGGCTCTTTTATATATTTGCAATGATGGTATCCCTCCCCATTTCAACCCTAGGCTGTAAGATAAGGAAATCTCATGAAAGTAAAAGTATGGAAACAATCCACCTACCAATGGTTAGACAAATTAGTGAATGGTTTGTCTGCTATTTTGTCCATATGTCCAGCCATAGCAAACCTGATGCAGTACAAAATATCTACGTTATTATTGTCATCAAATCTGAAAGTATTGGTTTGGTTTAATATTGCTGAGAAACAGAATTAAATAGTGATGTATCTTCACACAGGTCATGGGTCTGACCATCCTAGCAGCTGGTACAAGTATCCCGGACCTCATCACCAGTGTCATTGTGGCCAAGAAAGGCTTTGGAGATATGGCTGTATCCAGTTCTGTTGGCAGCAACATCTTCGACATTACCGTTGGGTAGCTATATTGTGATTTCTATTAGTAACTATACTTGAAAAAAAATTTGTGTGCACTTTAATTTTCAAGTTTTTTGGATATAAAAACCTTTTGCAAAATTGATTGCTGAAAAAATCAGGAATAAAAAAACAGCAGTAAGAGCATGGTATAATGCAGACTGTTTGGTGGATGAGAGTTACCACAAATTTATAGTGAAATTTAGTTGTTGAAAGAAAGACAGTTACTGGTGCTTACTTTTAATGATGGTTTTCATTGCTTTCAGGTTGCCAATACCCTGGTTGTTGTACCAGGCAGTGTATGTGGGAAAACCTATAAATGTGGACAGTAACGGACTCGCATGCTCAATATGTCTGCTGTTTTTAATGCTGATGGCAGTGATTGTGTCAATAGCAGTGTCAAAGTGGCGGATGAGTCGATTGCTTGGTATCATCATGTTGGTGCTTTATGTGATTTTCCTGGTACTCAGCGTGTTACTGGAAATTAACATTGTGCCATGTCCCATCGAAGCTTAACGGATCTGTATATACTCTGTACATACATCTTTTCCAAGATAGAGTTGATAAGTAAATTGATTTCAATGATAATTCCCTATTGCTATTCAAGTCTGTGATGTTTCTATTTACATAAAATTTGCTTTTATACTAATTTATGTAGCATAGAAAACTGATAATTGTATTTGGTTTTATTTTCCAGTCTTAAGATAATGTGTATTTGTCAGGTGTGTGTTATTCTGGTCTTGGTAAGCAGATAAAATGGCTGGACCACAACATTGTGATAATTATATGTTTCAATGTTATATCTTGGCATGTCCTTACTTACCGTGACTCTCTAGTCATGCCATGGTCATTTAATGAATACACTTGTATCAGGTGTACACATAGTGTAACACACAATTGTAAAATTTCATACTGAATCTGGCAACAATTTATACCAGTCGCAATGAAACTACAGAGTGGATTGGTGAAATTATACAAAATCAGGGCTAGTACCACATGTATTTCAACTACAAGATTGTACACATTCCAGGTACAGATGTATTTAAACCTTTTGTTATATCTTTGTTGAATTTGTTATTATTTGTTATCGGATATTTCCTGCTTAGCATTAGTGTCTTTGGAATGCCTTTACTTAATCTATGGTTTAATATTTCAGCATTAGATCTATTTGGAAAAAAAAAAATTTCTCTGGAAAGTCAAAAGAACTTAGCACTTACTTAATAATAGAATAAGTTCATCCTGTTTGTATTAGGTACTTCTGTCTGCATCATTGATTCATGGTTCATTTAGAGTATACCTATGTTTTTTGGACTCTGTAACATAAGGAGTTCAAATAATACTTCAATGAAATTGCATGTCTTGTATGCAATGTTACTGATGTTGGTGTACTTGGTTTGGACCAATGTTACTGATGTTGGTGTACTTGGTTTGGACCAATGTTACTGATGTTGGTGTACTTGGTTTGGACCAATGTTACTGATGTTGGTGAACTTGGTTTGGACGACCAATGTTGCTGATGTTGGTGTACTTGGTTTGGACCCGTGTTCCCATGGTTTTTTGCGGTTTTTGGTAGGTTTAACGTACTTTCCCTTGCCAATTGTGATGTGATGTTGTTTCTAGTTTTGTTAGCTGTGCAGTTTCACTTGTTGTCTTGTCACCCTGTTTCAGGAAAAGGCCTTTGATGTTTGATTATTGCATGTCTGTGATAATACAAGGGGAAAGAGATGGTTAATAGTCATTTCTGAGTTTCAAGTTTGACAGCCGAATGAAGGCCTTACATGTTGATTCTTAGGCTGTAAATACTTAGTATTAGTATTTTCTAGATGAATCATATACAACGTATATGACTGACACATTTTACACGAAAACAAGAACTCCTCCTGCAAATGATTGTAGTTACAAACCTTGATGTGTTTTGCATGTACATCTATTATTTATATATGTGTGAAATTTTTACCAATTTAACTGCATAAAACTGACTGTTTTTAAGTACATAAGTGTTTTTATAGCTCAAATGACATCTGAACATGACTTTATTTCTGTTTTTTTTAAATCAAATCATTTTGATGCGTTTCTTTCGAGCAGTTTTCATCAATCTGTTAAATTGGTCTAGTAGATATGAGACAATATCATATTGATCCTACAAGAATACGAGGGGACCAACATACAAAGTCTCTCCTAAAGCTAGAGTGGCCTGATTTTGTGACAATAAAATAGCATTGATTAGAAAACTTATGGTCAGCAATGTATATGAGTTGGCTAATTACCAGGCATGGTCTTATTGACAGACAAGAACATTGTAGTCGGTGTATATTTCAAGACTTGTCAGTTATTTTCTGTTTGATGTCTTTTACAAGTAATTTGTAAGCAATAAATAACATTCATTATCCTGGTTTGGTATACATTTTCTTAAAGTGCTTTACCAGGCATGGTCTTATTGCCAGACAAGAACATTGTAGTAGGTGTATATTTCAAGACTTGTTGATAGTTATTTCTGTTTGATGTCTTTTACATGTAATTTGTAAGCAATAAATAACTTTCATTGTCCTGGTTTGGTATACATTTTCTTAAATTGTTTTACCATCTGCAAAGAAAGATAACAATTAACCTTGTTATAAAAGTTTTATGATACAAACTTGGAATGAAATGTCTTATCGTAAGTGCTGCTACTTACAAAACCCCCAAACTATTATAGAAGTGGTAAGCTAGTCATGTGATGTTAATGTTTTGATAGAAATTGTTTTCAGGTTTTTTTGTGATACTGTTTATCCCACCAAGAATGACCATGACAGCATACAAATAGGATAGTTTTGTTGATGTGGGAAGTTATGAGTTTTGTATAAAAGATTACTTCTTGTACATACTGTACTTGTTATTGAAGAATTTCCCATGAGATAGTATTTGTTTCATTTGTAATAACAATTGTGCTAATTAGATTATATCATCATCATTAACATGTTAAAACTTGTAATACACTTGTTCTGTTTTATAAATTTGTTTTTTGTTTGACATTGATTTATAAAGTCCAGTGCCATGACAACATAAATCTATTAATATCAACTCTGTGACAAGGGTAATTTTACTCAATGTATCTAGGGTAATTTTAAACAAGATCCATGACAGTTTCCCCTCGTAATGATAAAAGTGGGATTTACTTAAACAAAGACTATGTGATGTGTACACTACCTCTCTTCTTGTTGACTCTCAGTTGGGGGTTACAAACATATGTTTTAAGTATATATCAATTAATTAGCAGAGTAACGACTGCTAAGGGTTGTATCCATAGTCCTAAGAAACAAACCAGTTAAACAAATGAAAACATAGCTATGAAAGGAATATCTAGCAAAGTCGTTTTATCATTCCCAATTACTATTTATATGTTATGTTTACTTTGATTTCATATTTTCTAAACGTAACAAATTTATTTCATGATATAATTGTAAATCAAGCCATTCCAACAAACAATATCAATTTTAAACTGATCATGTTTCAGTATGAATGTTATTTCTTTGAATTCCAGAATTAGGATGAAATCCCAACTGATATTGATGATATGCATATAGCGAGTTCAAGTTTGTAAAGTTGTAGCATTTGGACAGATTGCATTTTTTCCAGGATTTTTAAAAAGGTTTTCCTTGATTTTAATAACAATATTTTATTACTTTCATATTTTTGTTATATGCATTTATATTCCGTGCATAATAGTCAGAAGTCACCCCCTTTGTTTTAATTCACCAGGTTTTTTTATGTATATTATTTTACTTTCTTTTACTTGTTAAGTATTGTGTATAATCTTCAGTTTTGAGTTTTAAAGCTTGTTCAAGCAAAAATTAAGTATTTATCACATTGATTTTGTTGTTACAAGGACAGGGTTTGTAAATGATATGTTAAGTGTACAATGGTTTTGTGTAGTTTCCATGTGTAATGTGTAGTAGAATTAATTCAACTAATGTTATGATTAATATTCATCAGCACTAATGTTGTTATGCATTCCAAGGTTTTATTATTTTTGTAAATTGTTATAAAATTTGTTCTAGATTTGTCCAGATTTTTACTCAGTCATCGATGAGTCAATTGTTGTTAATAAGAGTGAAGATGTTTTAAGAATCTCGTGATTGGTAGCATGGTACATTTCTGATAATTGTAATGTTTTATTTAAAGTAGGAACACTGTGACAACAGTTGAACTAGAAGTTTAAAAGTAGAAGTTTGTCATTTCCGTCCTTCTGACTATTAAAGTTAAATTTAATACTGATATATTGCATGTGTTGTTTTTTCTGGTAGAGGTGGGGTGGGCATTAAGCATCACCCCAAAAGAAGTTACGTCTAGTATCTAGATTTCTTATTGAGTTAATAAAAGTTGATGCAACAGTTAAACATGATCTTTCAGACTGTTAAGTTTCTGTAAACTAAGATAAAGTTTTTCACAAATGAAATGTATTTGAATTTGCCAAATATGACATTTAATTTACACAGGAAAATAAGGTTTACATACATTGTCAAGATATTTTTCTGAATGCACATAATTCTTTGTCGAGTACTTGATTTTCCTACATTATGAATTTAATAAACACATGATGTATTTTGAGTTTGAGCAAAGCATAAGACACGACACCAGGCCAGTACCATCAGGGCCTATTTGTCCCCTTGTCTAAGAATAGAATGCCTTATCAATCTAAGAAGTAAAGTTTTAGAGTGAATACCTCTTTGAATGCTACACCCCTAATTTTTAGGTCACCTCAGACAAAGTCTCATGGTGACCTATTGCAATCACCTTCTTCGATGTCTTGCGTCTGTAATCAATTAAACATTTTCAATTTCTTCATGAATTGAAGCATCTTCAGGTGCTCTACCAAAATTGAGAATTTCATGACCCCAGGGTCCCACATTTCCCTGTGGGGAGGGGGTAAAGTTTACTATAGTTTATATATGAAAACTAGATTTTTCTGCTTAATTTGTTTAATTTCCATTGGAAATATTTCAAACTTGGTTAGAATTATGAGTGAAGAATGACAGCTTGATAGTATGCCTATTTTGATCCTGACTGATCACCAGGGACTGATGGGCAGGGCCAAAAGGCGTCAAATTGACTTAGATTTCAAAAATCTTCTTCTCAACACACAGACATGGTAGAATCAAATCCTCTGTATGAAAAGAAGCATCTGAAGGTGGTTTAATTACCAAAATGAGTCTCACAATTCTTCCAGGGGCAAAAACTTTTTTAGACTGTAATTTTCATAGAAAAATTACATTTTTGAGCATAACGGTTATTTCCCATTGGAATGACTTTTTAAGAATTAAAACACTGATAACTACTCTTTTAGCTTTATATTCATTATTGCTTATCTCGGGAGATTGTCAAGGCCGCTATGCCTCTTGTTTTCTCTAGACCTATATACTGATCAATATTATTGCCCAAATTAATATTATCCATGCCATATCTTACATAATTCAAAATCTTCATATTGTACTGTAAACCAGCTTCCTTTCAAACATGTTTTACATTTCTGAACTTCACAAAGAAAAATTTGGTAAACTTCATCTATTATAGAATAGAGTGTACATGTACTACAGACCGTTTCATAAAAGTTAATCACCCATTAAATTGTCATGTTGATGGAATTTGGTTTCTATATATAAATAATTGACTACAGAATTTCTGTGCTCTATTTAAAAACACTACTGATTGTCCTACCAGTGTGACAAAAAGGAAAAATACTCTCAGAATAGACTTGATACAATAACATGTCAATTTTTTATTCAGTCACAAATACGGCACATGGTTCTAAAATGGTAACTCTGTACGGCATACAGAAGTAAAATAACTAGTAGCACCAGGGGCAAGAAATCAAAAGTTAAAACATATAAAATATATCACTAGATTATAAACAATCAGATCATAAGCCTTGAATGAAAATAAAGAAATTCACTATAAATGCCATCAGCACATATTTATCTTCAAAAATTACAGAAATTCTTATTACATGTTTCATGCACAGATGTCCTCTGGATTAAATGTGGAGGTATTCTCCAGTGGCTAACCCATTTTATTGAATTGGTGATATATTTTCATGGTTAAAGCCTAGTAAACTTGAAAGTACAGCTAGAAATATCAAACTCTTGTAGAAGTCATTATTGTTTCATAACATACAATGTTGGTCCCATAACATTAAACTGCTGGAATAAAATCTAATCTCCAATAAGGGAAAGTTACTTCTTCTAATGAAGGGTTTGAGCAAATGTCATTTAGCTGGAAGTTGGTATTGACAGGAATAATAATTATTTCGAATTATTCATATTTCAAAAAGTTTCTCACAAAACAAATACTTTGCATTCAAGCACAACTAGCGATTCGCAAGCCTACATGATTCCATTTCAGAAAGCAGTATAAAGCAAGACATATTCCAGATGATGATAATCAAATGGTTCCATATGAACCAGAGGCTTGTATTGTTCACCTTGCCCCTGTTAACTTATTTGTGGGTAAAATAGTCTTTATTAGAAGATTGTAACTTATTCTACATGTTGTGAAAATTAAACTACAGGTACAATGTAATTTTACAATTTACATGTACAAAAAAAAAAAAAAACCTGATTACTTTTCATGTTCTTGGTTTGTTTAAGGTTTTGTCAAGTGAAAACCTCCCCTGTAATTTTCCACTTAGCACTAATTTTATTATCTAACATCATTAAGTTGGCCTTTAGGAATACATTGTAGTGAATTACATCACTAAGTCATTGAAAAACATTGAATTCAAAGAATTTCAGAACAAAATGAAATTTTTCACTGGGCTCAACCTAAGCTATCATTTACTTTTTGTCTTCTTCTAAACTGAAAAACATAAGATTCAGAAGTTGATATACCATGTCAATTGCATTGATACCGTTAAGACAGCACTGGAAATACCATACAATTTTTTTTACACTGTATAACAAACATTTAAATTCGTGCTCATATATTATAAAGATTCATCTGTACATCCAATTATTTGTAGAAGTTATTTGTCAACAAGTCTAAAGAAAGAAAAAAAGGAAAAAATAAGCACACAAGTGAACAGCAAAAATATAAGTAAAACCTAATGGCACATTAAAATCTTGATGCCAGTGTTTCTCAAAATCAATAAAAATTCTTTCTCTCCAGATTCTGTCAAATTCGCTAACAGTGATCCCAAAGTTTGACTGGACATTAATTGGTAGTATAACAAGGTTTTATATCATCTATGACGCCTAACTTTGTACGTTAATTGTTGGAGCTTTCCTAGAGAAAGAAGAAATAGCTTTGGTCCTGCCAAGTTGTAAAAAAATCAAACCTAAATCTGTGATCATGTGTAAATTGTGTTTCAGTGTTCAAGTCTAGCTTTGAAATCAACAATCAAATTTCTGGTACAAATGTAAGCATTCTATAATATGTTAACTCATCTCAATCATTTCAAGTGTTCTTTCGTTGGTAAGCATCAGAAAATATTGCACTAACAAGGATTCGTTGCTTTGGTGAAATTTTCTTCTCTACGAGCTAGCAATATTTTAATGGCTGTCCCCAGCACAAAAACATACTTACGAAAGCGTATTCAACTTCAAAGCCTGTCTAGTTTGATAATAAATTACATTTGGGACAGAATATTGAGCTCAAAACAACTGCGGAACATTGTGAATTTGTTGCACTGAAAAATATTCAGAATTCTGATTCCGCCAGAATTAGTTTTGTCTCACACGGAAGAAATACTCAATAGCCTTCCCCTCTCCATGAAATCAAAAAACCAAAAACTTTATGAGGAGTAAAACTGTAGCAAACCCCATTATATTGCTTTCGCATAGATTTCAAACCAACAAAACAAAATTGTGTTTTACACGAGGAAGGAATAGGAAAGACAAGAGTAAACAAACAGTACCAGTAAACAATTCATAAAACTTTGTTATAAACATTGCATACAAGCTTCCTCATACAAAATATATAAATTACATTAAAACATAAATACTGACTAATCTGAAGAATATTGGCATTGCCCCTTGCACGGTTTCTTCATCATATTAAAACATTTAAACATTGGAAATCATGCGTCATTTGTATAGAAATGCGACATCCGACAAAAAGTCTTGTATATTTCATAGAAATCAAACCAAACCTTCTCGAAAAGGAAAATAAATGCGTAAAGACAAGAAAAATGAAATTTTCAATAACTTTCACATTTACTTTCAAAATGACCTAGGCTTTGTGCTGCCAGATCTTTTGAGGAAGATATAAACTCTATATCAAAGGTAAAGTTTGAAAGTGGTTTGAATGCAAGTCATTTGAAAAATTCTAGCAATATGATAATTGGATAATAATAATGAGTTACTTCCTTGATGTTGCAGTTAATGATTCCATGGACAAAACAATATTTTTCTCAAATTGCTATGTATAAATCAATGTTAAATTAATTACAGCACACAGAGAAATCTTCCCCCAGACAGATCAATGATGATTCTGCTCTGCATAGATCAATATTAAATAACTGGTTTCCCCCAGACAGGGCAATATAATGGCTATTTGAATGCTACATGAGGCTACAGTGCGTGGCCTGCTTGGTTCTGGTCAACAGAGACCGACCTATAGCTCTTAATTTGACAGACTTTCCCTGGTCAGAAGTCTGTCAGTCTGAGACAGGAGTTGTACAGCATTAATCAATGAAATCAATAGATCACTCTTCCTAAACTAGCTTTCATCTCAAACATTACGAAAATTGTGGTTTGTCGTAAATATTTACCTTACCAGGTATATGTAAACGACGGAAAATGAAGCTTTAAAAGAGTGAAAGATAAGTAGTTTCACAGATTAATTAACTGTTTTCAGCTGGTCTTTATAACTATGGACTCTCATTGCTGAATATGTGTATGTCTACCCCTTTAATAAGAAAGGTCAAAAATATATATTTTATTAGTAATGTTTTAGTAAAAGAAGATAAACAGCACTCACTGTCTTCTGACTGATTATGTAATGCTTATAAATATTAATAGAGAAAATGTCAACAGAAATATTTAAAGCATATCATCTATCCTTAAAAAGATCTGCAGTAAATGTCACATCAACACACACAAACCACACAGAATTTGTTTCACCAGAAAATTTTCCATTCAAGTTAACCAATATGCAATGGTTTTTTTTTCCTAAGCAGAAGTTGGTGCTATTGACATTTCTATCATTAAATTTCAATCTCAGATATAAGTTGTTTGTCATTCATGTAAAACAAAAACACAAGTTTTGAAATATTTTCTAATTTTGATGCAACACCTAAACTACCAGCAGTGGTTTAGCATGATTATGGCGTTGGTGCAGTGCCTTGAAGGACAGCTTTGTGTTTCCTGTATTCAGACATGTATATCTGTAGTCAAGCAGTTATTACTCCTTATGACCTCTGACAGCAGTCACATAGCTCACTAGAATCAGATGGTATCACCCTTTTTACTTCGAGTTTGAATGGCAAGATCAACAGAAGATATGGACGAGGGTAGATAACTCTACCTGAACACAGGACCTAAAACAGGAAATGTTATTTTTTCGTTTGTCGACCATAGAATTTTTTGTTCAATAAGAAGATAAGAAGGTTGACATTGATACGAGCTTTGTTGAACATCTCAATAACCGCTACGCCCTCATACTGGAGCTGGAGCAAATCCTGTAAAACAGAAAAGAAATATTCACTATCAAGTGAAAAAGAGAATTCTTTACAAACATTTAAGAAAGTAATTTTTTCATAACTACAAAAAGAAAATAATCTTTTCACAATACAGAGCGAATAATGTTAACATAGAAAGGAAATCCTTTACAAATAAACAAGAAAACAAACTAACAGCAAAAAAATTGAGGGGTTTTGGTGCACACTGTTGTTTGGTGCACACTATTGTTTGGTGCACACTGTTGTTTGGTGCACACTATTGTTTGGTGCACACTGTTGTTTGGTGCACACTATTGTTTGATCTTTATCTGCTCTTTGGAAGTTGAATCTTTTCTCTCCTTTTCTCTTCTCTGATTTTGCTCTTAATGACAAGACATTTGAACATTCCTTTGCAGAAATAGTGATGATTATCTTTACCTGGCAAATCCAATATGGCCTCCTGGAAGCCATTTTGTTTCTTTTGATTAGTCCCAAAATCAAACAAGCACAAGGAGAGACCAAAGGGAACATACATACTTCTCAAGAAATAGTAATAACAATCTTCACTTGGCAAAATTCAAGATGGCTGCCTGTCAGCCATTTTGTTTTTCTGATCAGTTCCAAAATCAAATGGGCACAACTAGGGACCAAGGGGAACTTACATATACAATTTGAGAAAGATCCCTACAATACGTCTCAAGAAATAGCCAAAACAAAAATTGTTTACAGTCAGTAGAACGGACCACAGATGCAGAGCAATTTGAAAAGCCCACCATCATCAGAAAGAGCTTCAATTTCTTAACAATGAAACCTACGATAGATTGGTCCTTCAAGTCCTTTTAATACCATAAAGATATTCTTACCTGGAACACAAGTTCCACTTTTTCCATATCTACACCCATGAATTTAGCATTGACATCAAAAGTTCCTGGATCTGCTGTGGCAGAAATCTCAAACATAACGTTCTTGAATCTGTAAAAAAAAAATGGAATGATGATGAGAATTGAAACTTATAAAAATAGGACTGTTCCCCATTGGAAAACTTGATCATATATGTCTACAACCCCATTTTTCAACACAATAAGGAAGCGGTATAGAGTTTCTTGACAAGGCCATGGGGGATATCTTTGTTCATTAGATTACCCCATTATAAGGTTTTTTTTTTTTTTTTTTATTAAAATCAAAAAAATATATCCTTGCTACTATTGGCCTTGTCATTTTGAAGTGAACAATGTGGACTTCATATTTTTCAGAATACTAATTTTGCATTGTGTTAGAGTTTACTCTTTGGGCAGTCTCGAATCTGTGTCTACACACCAAACACTAGCTTTACAGGAAGTGAAATTTCCTTTGTGTCTACATGTGGTCATGTTGTGAATCTGTTATTAATACGAATTTGCTGAAATGTGAGTAATATGTTGTTGTGACAGTGTCGTAAGTTTTTAGACAGGTGCTCAGATATAAATCCCTCAGGAAGTTGTAATTTTGGGTTGAAGTCAGTGATATTTTTGGATTTAAAGGTAAAAAATAAGGGGATATTTTTTGTTTACACAATTGTTACTACAACTGCTATGTACTAGTTTATAAATATATATATATCTATTCATACATTTAAGGGAGTATTTTTCAAAACCAATTGGTTGTACCTGTATATCTCTATGTTCTATAATTTCAGGAAGAAAACAAATTAACTGTTTCCACAAGATGTGCTGTAGGTATCCATTTGACTTACTGGCTATTGGGTAGTCCCTCAACATCTAGAATGACTCCCTTCTCATGAAGCTTGGATGCACTGTACTTCACAGACTCATAAGACACCTTGCCATTGCCATCACCACGTTTGAATATTCCTCGTGACTTCCTGTTACTGAAACACAAAGATATAATAGTTGACAACAGCAGCGTACATTTTAACTTTGAAAACGATAAATTTGCTGACTGCTACTACCATGTTTTATCTGGTACAAGCCCAACCAAGTAGCTAGTGCATCGAAATTGGGAAGAATCTTTCCCTGAATCAGACCCAACGTAAAAAAAAAATGTATACAAAAATAATGCACCAAAATGGCAAAGAATTAGGCATATTGCAATATAATTATGGAATGGGCTTTTTGGACATCAGTCCATACTTAGTAAAGTATGGTAAATGCAGGTTACAACATACATCAGGATTCTTTTGTGGAATCTTATTTACAGAGATATTTTTTGGTTACTGACCACTTGTTGGACCATTTTAAACTATAGTGACAAACTGAAATGTCAGTACTTGGATATGGTAGTTATCACTGCATGTGGCCATGCTATTCTGTTATATGACAAGTCCTTTCAATTCCTGATCTAGGAACATGCTGATGATGCTGATCATTTCAGGAGGAAAGGAAAATCTTAACATCACATGATGTGATCAGATCTAGTTTTTGAGATATACAAGCCTGCTCTAAAAAATGTACTGGATGAATTGAAAAACATATGAAACATATTTGTGTTTTCCTTACCAACATTTCTAGAGTGGAAAAAAAAAAATCTAATACTTACTTATGAGATCTACAAATACAGGATACAGGACAAGGGGAAAGAGACAACAGTCTAGAGTAGTTAATGGGATCGACAGCTTTAAGGTTATACGACCCCATTAAAATAATAACAAGGGCAAATAATCTTGTCAACTTTGTACACAAATTTTAAATAAAAAAAAAAAACAACTTACTTGCTCTTCTGCTGTAAATTCTCCATACATGTTTTAACATATCTGTTGTAATAGTCGATCTGAGACTCGTAAAATGTACGTTTTTCCTGCAGGCTCTTCAGCGTAGAACGTATACGCATCAGCTCTTGTTTACGGTTATTACGGTAACGCCTTTGGTTACGGATGTCCTTAAAACCGATAAAAAATTATGTAACGTAACAGTAGCATAAACGGTTGTGTACCTTCATGAAATAATAAAACACAATTAATTGAAATGTTATGGGAGAGACAGATTGGCATAAACAATAGGACTTCTCATGAAATTATCTCATTTTACTTAGCTCCTAATAATTACAGCTAGGTCCAGTGATGCTGTATGTTCAGCAATCCTGTGTGTTGTCTCATTTCTGGTGAACTATCAAATGATCGGAGTCTACATTGTTAAGTTTTCACTCCGTTCATGTCAGATTGTGTAGAGTGTTAGTACAATAATGAACTGGATCCCCAGTCATGGAGGTCAATGTGAAAACCTAGTCACATGTATAGATAATGACCTATTAACTTAACAATATAAAGCATCAACATGTAACTTGTGCCCACCTGTGCAATCATGCTGACTAGATCCTGGAAGTCATTTTTCCTGGAGACAACTCCATCCAATTCTAAATTCTGTAGCTGCTTTTTGATCTTGGTCTTCATAACTTGTATTGATAACCTGAAGAAGGATGGACATAACTTCTACTAACAGTTACACATACTAATGAAATTCAATTTTTATGAAATTAAAACTGGAATGGTAAATATATTTCTGACCAGATATAAATGACAGAAATGGAAAAAAAATGAATTCATCATAGCACATCAAAATGAACGAAACAAACTGAACATCGGCTCATATGAGTATAGTACCATCCATCAATATATTATGGTGTGTATGTAGTTACACTGATAATTTACCAGCAATTAATGCTCCAATTGCAGAATAGCAAGGATTGACTTTTGACTAAGTTGTAAAATCTACTGTACTCTGCTATTAGATGCCCCTGACAACATAATTCTAACAGCATTTGCTCTGTTTTAATCTTCATTACGATGAACTTTGACCCACATATAACATACATGGTTTCTGACAACATGGAGGGGTGACGCACTAGTCCCTTTCCTCCCTGTTTCGCAGACGCTTTCCGATCACGTAGCTCCCGTTTTTTGACGAGGGCTTGGTGAAGTTCCTCCTGTTCATCTGTAGCTGGGGACTCTAAGATTTGTGTCAGTGTGTCACCCGGTTGACATGCCACAACATCTACCACCAGACGCTTTGTTCTGTAACAAAACAAATGTTGATTATGTTTTATATGTCCAATAACCTGAGACTGCTTCAAATCTGAAGCAATGTTGTTATATTGTTGATATTGCCTATATTTCTTGTATCTGATACACATGATAAACTTGGACCTGAAACTAATTTCTTTGTAAGATTGGTTAGAAAATATGTAGCTGTTCACTACAGCAGGAGCAGTTAAATATAAGACAACTGTACAATGTGTTAGTTCATCTTAAAAGGACCTATTTACCATATGACGTGTTAGTTCACCTTATAAGGAGCTGTTTATGATATGATGTGTCAGTTCACCTTATAAGGAGCTGTTTAACATATGAGATGTCAGTTCACCTTATAAAGAGTTGTTTAACATATTCACCTTTTAAGAGCTGTTTAATATACAATAAGTCAATTTACCTTATAAAGACCTGTGTTACATACAAAGTGTCAGTTCACCTTATCAGTTGTGTCAGTTCACCTTATAAGGAGCTGTTTAACATATGATGTGTCAATTTACTTTATAAGGAGCCATGTCAATTTACCTTATAAAGAGCTGTTTAACAAACAAAGTTTCAGTTCACCTTTTAAGGAGCTGTGTAACATACAATAAGTCAATTTACCTTATAAAGACCTGTGTTACATACAAAGTGTCAGTTCACCTTATAAGGAGCTGTTTATCATATGATGTGTCCGTTCACCTTATAAGGAGCTGTTTAACATATGAAGTCAGTTCACCTTATAAGGAGCTGTTCAACATATGATGTGTCCGTTTACCTTATAAGGAGCTGTTTAACATTGGACTGGTCATCTTCTGGCACCTCAAACTTATTTGTAAGTGTGAGTGTTATTTCTGTTGTTCCCAGTTGTGCTACCACTGTATCTCGCATTGTTTCTTCCTCGGGCAGATCAACTCCTGTAAAATCAAATAACATCAAATGTATCCTTTAAAATTTCTCTAAAATGATTCATATCTACCAAGTGATTCAAGAAAATCTGATAACTAGACAATTTGGCGAATTAAGACTTTGATTAAAATGAAAGAATATCCAAGAAAGCACTGAAAGTGGAATTTTCATACTGGGTGAAACAAAATTACCCAAAAGTTCTGCTACTGTTGGAACCTCTCCGAGATCTTCCAGAAGTTCATGTAGTGAGTCATTGGAGTCTGGAGCAATCTCATCTTGATGCATCACTAACATCTGAGGACAAAGTACAAGTAAACTTACATTTGGGTACATATTGCTGGTTAACAAAACATTTGGGTACATATTGCTGGTTAACAAAACATTTGGGTACATATTGCTGGTTAACAAAACATTTGGGTACATATTGCTGGTTAACAAAACATTTGGGTATATAGTACAGAACTAACAATCAGGTACATATTACAGGTAAACTATACTAACATCATATAATACAGATAAAATAACATCTGGATACATATTTACAGGTAAACTTAGATCTAGGAACTTAGTACAAGGCCTTTTTAGGGAAGTTATCTTCAATTTTCAAAATAAGGGTTAAATTACTGCTTTAATACTGTCAATTTTCCACATTAATTCACCTGATGTGTATCACATATCTCTGACACAGAGATATAAATGACCGGTTTGGTGATGGTCACTATGTCTGAGTACTGGTCAACGTTAAATTTGGCCTCCAATTCCTCCACATCACAAGCCATTACACAGTAATGCCTGAAACACACATTTATCATTACTTGGTTGGTCGCTATAACACAAGTACAACATAACTTGCCTATCGATTCATTAACAAATTTCCCCATTTCAGGAATATTTGTGTTCTAGCTGTGGATGTGGCTGTTGTGATTACACCAGCCTTCTATTGTTCGAACAGGTGCACTAATAAAAGTCATCGTACAACGAGCAAACTGCATCAGATTTTACTTGAAAGTCTTTCTGCTACAAGACGGTCAGGGTGTGGAACAGTCTCATGAATAAGCCCAGCACTTTTTAAGACTGCCTGCATGGCTTCATGGACGTTGGTAACATATCTGCCCCTAATGTTTCAATCAGAATTTTGTTTTATCTTAAATTTCTGACTTGTTTTCCATCTTCACTAGACTGTCATCTTTTATATTACTTTAACTAGTTTTTTTGTTTTTCTCCAGTTAATATGAAACAGTGTATATATTTTAACTTCAGGACTATCCCAGTAAAATGTTTACCTGGCCCTCAGACCCCCAAAATAAATCTCTCCTATCAATAGCCATGGTTCAGTTTCCTGCCTAGTTCTTGGTAGGAAAGTATCAATTAAATTCTATGAGCAGTACCTCAAAAAATCTGGAGTCAAAAAGATGTTTTTCTGAAATGATGCTTATTCTCAACAGATAAAATGTCTCTTTAATAGAATCAAATACAACTTACTTGAATTTTTCATGTGCCTCTCGTATGTAAGTGTTCATACTGGACAGATAGGAACTCTCACCGCCAAACTGAAAGAAAGCCAATTTTTCAATCGCTATGCCATTAGACATTATTTATCAGAAAAAATTCAAGCCATATTTCCTTCATACCGTTCTTTGTTTTAAATCATTCCTTTCTGAGATGGTCATACACTTAACTTTGAAATATTGTAGTCCAATTAAAATTTATCTAATACAATCAATGAGCAGAATAATTTATGTAAGACAAACCATACCCCTTTGTTTGCAGCCGCAAATTGTAAAATTTTGGCAACCGAACCCAGATTTCGTCGCTGGTCATTGGTTAGTTGTCTGTCAGCACCTACGTTGATGATGTCGAAGGCATCAGGAGCAACAATGGCCGAGTTTATGTATCGGTAGTAGAGCAGGTTTCCTACAATCTACAACAGATCAAAGTTTATAGATCAAACATCCTGGGTGACAAATAACAGTCAAAATCAATGCATTTAAAAAAAAATTTTTTTTTATTACATGACTAGTATGAGATGCTCCCATTTTTACAGCCCCTCCCCACTCAAACAGTTTGCCCCTTTCTTTCATAAATTTTACTCAATATCACTGAGAGATACCCAGTTGTCTAGTGTTTCCTGAGAATCTGTTTAGAAATAGATGAGTGGCAACGAACATGTAACATAATGAAGATTACTTAGCACCCTGGTTGAGTTGAGCCATTAAAGTAACAAGTGTCTAGCCTATCAGCACCCTTGCATCTGTTTTTACCTTTAAGACATCCTTTTCCGGTGCCTCGGGGAACTTGGTCATCAGAGCTTCTCTTAGAACCTTGGCCATGTATCGCATGCCATACCTGTAATTAGGAAATATCACACCTGTAATCATGGATTACTTATCCTACCTGTAATTAGGAGTGAAATATCACACATGTTATTAAGATCACTTATAAAACCTGTAATCACGGTTACTTATCATACCTAAAATAAGGGACTATATATCTTCCCTGTAATAAGGGATTATATATCTTCCCTGTAATTAGGGATTATATATCTTCCCTGTAATTAGGAATGAAATATTATGCCTGAAATAAGGGGGTTACACATCATCTTTATAATCAAATGTTACATATCACACCTTTAGTTAGAGGTTAAAAGATAACACCTATATTTAGATATTAGATATAACACCTGTAACTTGTGATTACAAGGTTGTAGCAGGAAACTTGATACTTACGGAATTTTGTCAAGTGACTGTAAAATGGTGGTGAGGAATTTTTCTGTAACTTGCTGTAATTTAGCAATTGACTGCTGAATCATTTTCTGTACCTCGTCATGTGCTAAAGCTTGTTCTATTGATACGTCGTAAGGCAAAGCACTGAAAAGGTTCAAACAGCAATATTAATATAACCGTATACATAAAAAATGTATTGACAAGTATGGCAGATATAGACGTAATTTTACAAAACTTTTAAATTTATTTATGTATCATTCTGTGGACCTTACCCAGGTTTTACCCAGATTTATCAGTCTGAGATTCGGTCATGTGTTAGCTTACCTGGATTTATCAGTCTGAGATTTGGTCATGCCTCACCTTACCTGGATTTACCAGTCTGAGACAGTCATGCCTCACCTTACCTGGACTTACCAGACTGAGATTCGGTCAAGCCTCACCTTACCTGGATTTACCAGTCTGAGACAGTCATGCGTTAGCTTACCTGGATTTATCAGTCTGAGATTCGGTCATTTGTCACCTTACCTGTATTTACCAGTCTGAGACAGTCATATGTTAGCTTACCTGGATTTACCAGTCGAAAACTTGGTCATTTGTCACCTTACCTTATTTTATGGACCCCTCAGTCAGACATTCAACACCTTATCTAGTTTTATGAATCCAAGAGTTGGTCATGTGACACCATATCCTCTTTTACCAATCATATAGCGCCTTACCTGGTTTTAACGGCTTCAGACTTGGTCAGGTGACACCTTACCTGGTTTTAACCATCTCAGTCAAGCGACACCTTACCTGATTTTGATGGTCTAAGACTCTGTCAGACCTAACCTGGTTTAACAGCTTAAGACTCGGTCATGTAACAACTTACCTGGTTTACTGGTCTCAGATTTGGTGACATGCTACCTAGTTTTACCAGTCATGTGACACCTTCCCCAGTATTACCAGTCATGTGACATCTTACCTTTTTTTACCAGTCATGTGACACCTTACCCAGTTTTACCAGTCATGTGACATCTTACCTTTTCTTACCAGTCTCTGACTCAGTCATGTTGATCCATGTTTTATACACGTCTACTGGATTTGTATTGATGCGTAGATTTTTGTCCTCAATGACTTCAGTAACCAATGGGTTTAACATTTCTCTTAATGAATTCTGACCCCGTTGATTCCTGAAAGAAAGAAGCTGTTTTTAAAATCACAATGAAACTTGTATCTAAACAAAAGTACTGCAGGGCACAACAATAGATGCCCATCCCTTGCTGAAGAAACATGCCCTATTGTATAGAAAAGGTTAAAAAATGGTAACAATGAGTCAAAATATCACGAGGGAAAACAGTACGATATATTTCAATGATAAAGAGATGAGGGAAAAGTCTAGACAAGATTAAAATGCTGAAAACAACAAAAGTGCAATAACTTTTTGAAATATGGTAAATGAAAATGCAGTTTATGGGAGAATGAGGGGTGCCTTCCTATTTTTAGATATTTAACTGTCAAGAACAAGATGAAACAGATGAAAAACATGAGGACATTGAGGTAAGATGAACACCTGATAATAATTACATGGGACATTCTCTGTTTACAGAAAGACCCACAGTATGTGTCAATTAACCTCATAAAAGGTCATGGCTCATCCCACACAAACTTTCCTTGTTCTTGGTAGATAACCTTGCTACAGTTTATAGCTATGACAACCATTTGTAGACCTTACTTGTTGTTACTATGAAAACCATCTGTTGATCTTACAAGTTGTTGCTATGACAACCCTATGCACATCTTACCTGTTAAATCCCACAATCATTTTCACTACAAGTGGATTTCCTGTCACAAAGTCAGACATTCTGTCTACCTTCAGTCTGTAATGCAGAAATAAAAAGACATATGATTAGAGCAATTCCTAAAATTCTACTAAATTTACACTAAATGATGTTCGTGTTATTGGTCAATTACTGAAGGAGAAAAATCAGACAAATGACACTATTGAACATCAACAGAAAATGTTCATCTTTCAGTAAAACAATTAGGATCTTTTGGTGAATGTGAGAATAATTTATCAAAGCTAATTCAAGAATTAAGAATTATTTGGTAAAAATTTTAAATACTTTCTCACAAACTTAATATTTAGTAATGCAAAATCTAGCTCAGCTACAACCCACTACACACCTAAGTATAATATATACAACTTTCTATAGCATTAGGGCAACAGATATAGCTAGTAAACTGCTGATTATACAGAAAAAAAATGGCTAAACTAATGGTTTTATTATTGAGGATGCCCATGTGGATCATAATTGTTCGTATTTTCATGAGATACCTTGACAATGTATGGTTCGTAAATAAAAATGTTTAAGCACAATAACAAATTAATAAATCCTTTTACACAGGTAGCCAAGTGACAAAACAGAAGTGAGAATTGATATTGGAATTTTTGTATCTAAATGTTTTGAATTTAATATTTAAGTGCACATTTTCACAAGAATTATCAATCTTCATGAAAAAAAAATCAACATTTAAACTAAGGTGCTTGCCTCCCTATAAATATCATAGCAGGTGTAGAAGTAGTGAATGGTGTTATTAAAAAGCACTAACAGCATATGGTAACATATAATATTGTGTATTAAAAATATCTGTTCCAGTTGTTTTGTTAGTTTGTTTTAATTCTAATTTTCCTAATATATGTTGGTTTTTTTCCTAATTTTCCTAATATATGTTGGTTTTATTTCTAATTTTCCTAATATATGTTGGTTTTATTTCTAATTTTCCTAATATATGTTGGTTTTATTTCTAATTTTCCTAATATATATGTAAATCTAGGATATATTTTTTCTTCGTAGATTATAAAAATTCACAGGTAAGTACAACAAAATGAACGTTTCATTTCTACCTCTACAGATCTTGACCATAACACTCAAAATGTTTCATAATCAGGTGTATTTTTGTTTTTAATCAATGTAAAGAATGACATCAAAGGGAAACCACTCACACTGAAGACAAGAAACAGTAAGGTTTTCCTTAGAAAGTTGTAGGAAAAAGCTGTATAATTAGAAAATTAACCACACATAAAGAATAAAGGGGAGACGAAGTAAAAAATATGAATAAAGAAATAAATTTAAAAAACAAACAAAACTAGATACTATTGCCACACAGTAAACTAAATGTAACACAAAAGAATATACTGCATGTAAAACTGAAGCAAAACAATGAGATTTATGTTATTATTAGATACACAGACAGATATGATAAATATCATGCATTAAGTTGTCTCCCCTTTATATAATCAACTGATTAAAAAAGAGTAACTAGCAGTTATCAGTGAAGCTGAGAAGATGAATGAAAACTTGAATAAATATATTGTATAGCAAATACAGAAAATTAGCAGTAATATACTAATCTCTCAATATGTTTATATTTAATTCATCAATGTTAAATACAGTATGGAGTTAATTTCCCTTAAATAACTTTGTATTAAAGAAGCTTGTGATGTCTATAAGCTGTGCTGTTGTTTTTTGGCCTCTGCCAATGTGTTCAGATTTTTGTTGGTGTCTTATCTGTGTTAATGTTGGCACTGTGATAAACTATTTGTCATCTAGTGCTCCATTTCAAATCTACAATACAGTATTGCAAATTCCTTGTCAATACTAAATTCTTTATTCCGCAAGTCCCATATCACTTACATGTACAACACCAAGGTAGATAAAACAAAGATGAAATTTTGTTTTCTTTATAAAAAGAATTAACCAAAAAAGGGAATACCTGACAGACATGCATACTAACTTTCCATGCATGTTGAAAGAGAAAGTAGAAGTTAAATACTGCCATCACTAGCTGGAGCCTACACAACTACTGCTGTATCAAAACATTTTTGTATTTCCATCCAACAGCTTTACATGGACACTTCCTGTAGGAGTTCACATATTTCAGAAACTAATGATCAATATAATTTCTACTGTATCACAAATAAATAAAATTTGAAAAAAAAAAAAAAATATGATATATATATATATAAAAATCTATCATGAACACTGCATACTGCATTAATCTTACTTCTCATGTCAAGTTTGAACACAGTTTGCTAAATCTTTATCTCCAAGTGTTTGGCTGCAGCTAGTTAAGTGCTAGGACATCTGATATACATTGACTTGTTTACAAACTCATGCTACATTGAGAATTCATCCATAAATACTTACATTCGTCTGGAAGGTTGGAAAGGTTAAAATATTGATATTATTTTGAGAGAAACAAAGACTGTGACTGGTGTATGTATCAAAATGCACTTAAGGATGTATGCTGTCTTATTTGTACATGTAAAGTTACATGTACTTCCATTAACAGATAACTTACACCAGAATAACCAGTAAATACATATCATTCAGTTTTTAAAGGATAGTCAATTTGAACTATGTTTCAATCTGTAGTTAGTTGTCCATTAATTGAGAATGCTTGTCAAAGTAAGGTAGCATATATCCTTAACATTCCAAGGATAATAAAATGGTGATAAACTGATGATGCAAGGTATTAACCAAGGCCAGTAAGTCATCCTACACAACATGTTCTGATGACAATTTACACATGTTTTGATGACACCTATCACAACATGTTCTGATGACAATTTACACGTTTTGATGACACCTATCACAACATGTTCTGATGACAATTTACACGTTTTGATGACACCTATCACAACATGTTCTGATGACAATTTACACGTTTTGATGACACCTATCACAACATGTTCTGATGACAATTTACACGTTTCGATGACACCTATCACAACATGTATTGATGACAACACATTTTTACATAGCTGTCACAACATGAATTGTGGATAGTTTACACATTTTTTGATGACAACCTGCACAACATACTTGCTGTATGATATGGCACGATATAAACCAATTTTCTTACATGACAACTAACTTTCATAATTTCAGTAGCAAAACAATCTTGCTATGATTAACTTTTGCAAAACAGACAAAGCTATACTGTAAGTTTTTAACTGAACTGGCAACTTTGTTTTAATTGTGAAAGTTGTGAAAGTAAAATGCAAAATGAAAGAAAGCTGGTATACACTACTAACCATTAGGTAACTATGGAAACTGTGTAACTATGGTAATTGTAGAAAATGCCTTTTTATATAACTACATTAACTTTCTAAAGTATCTGTAGAAAAATATGATGTTACTATAGCAACCTTAGAAATTAATTCATGAAAACTCATTACGATAAAATATCTATAGAAATTGTAGAATACACAATATCAATGTTACCATGGTAACAATACACTTACGCTATCTCTTCTTCCAGAGCCTTTCTAAACAGCTTCAGAAGTAAGTACTCCTCCCGCTGGTTAGAGCCGTAGTTAAACAAAGAATAAATCACTGACTCCATGAATTTGGTCGTGCGACTCTGCGGCATCTCGAAGATCAGTTTGGCGAGGTAGGTCGGATTGGTTTGTAGGAGATAGAAGAGATACTGGTAGGCCTCCAGTCGGTCATGGCAGTCTTTACTTAAGGCCTTCAAACCTTTCGGTGCATTCAGGCTCATCTCCTTGTGTTTGGATAATTTTTTGTCGTGTGTGATGACATCCTGAGAAAGAAATATTCATCAGTAATTAATATCCCTTTAACAACACCATAAAGACAAAGTTTTAATACAGTTACTTATTTACATCACTATGTCAGGCTATAATTCTATTACCGAAGACGATATCGTTACAAGTCAAAATATAATACTACTGAGATACAATTTTTCTACAAAATCCCAATCATCTATAGGAAGATCACATGTTTTATATTATAACAGTTGAGTTCTCACATTTACAAAAAACATTTGAAAATAGCAATGTTTGCAATTCTGACGTCAACACAAGTTCCCTGGGATTTGTGAAACAGACTATACCATAATGTAATATATTCATTGTTTATTATCCCTGTCTACATTTACAGAGACTAACTTTTGTGAATTTGTTTCAACCTCTGAAACCTCCAATGAGGGGAATCTTCCTGATTCCACATCTCAAATCAGGGGAAAAGCGTGCGAGAATTTTCGATGAATTTTGCACTCCATGGAAAAAAATTGCTGTTCAGTTATGGAACATGAATGAAACGGTGTTTGCATATTGTGTCAAACATGTAAAAATTGTCTTTCAGTTTTTATGCCCCATGGAATGTTGGTTTACAGTATCTGAAACCTTATTTTATGTCAGTCGAGTTCTAATAGGAATGAAGACACTATTTCTGATAAGAAATCTTTACCAGTAGGGAGAAATCTCATATGTAACTCTGTTTTGATAATAAGTTTCAATCTGAGTATTCTTTTCTCATATTAAAGATGTAAGGCAATTTCTGTTCTCACCTGTAGGGAGAATTCAGTTCTCTCCTGTAGGAAGGGTTCAGTTCTCTCCTGCAAGGAGGTTTCTGTTCTCACCTGTAAGGAGAATTCAGTTCTCTCCTGTAGGAAGGGTTCTGTTTTCTCACCTGTAAGGAGATTTCTGTTCTCACCTGTAGGGAGAATTCAGTTTTCTCACCTGTAAGGAGATTTCAGTTCTCACCTGTAGGAAGAGTTCAGTTTTCTCACCTGTAGAGAGAATTCAGTTCTCTCCTGTAAGGAGATTTCAGTTCTCACCTGTAGAGAGAATTCAGTTCTCACCTGTAGGGAGAATTCAGTTCTCTCCTGTAGGAAGGGTTCAGTTTTCTCACCTGTAAGGAGATTTCTGTTCTCACCTGTAGGGAGAATTCAGTTCTCTCCTGTAGGGAGAGTTCTGTTTTCTCACCTGTAGAGAGAATTCAGTTCTCTCCTGTAAGGAGATTTCAGTTCTCACCTGTAGAGAGAATTCAGTTCTCACCTGTAGGGAGAATTCAGTTCTCTCCTGTAGGGAGAGTTCTGTTTTCTCACCTGTAGAGAGAATTCAGTTCTCAGTTCTCTCCTGTAGGGAGAATTCAGTTTTCACCTGTAGGGAGAGTTCTGTTTTCTCACCTGTAGAGAGAATTCAGTTCTCAGTTCTCTCCTGTAGGGAGAATTCAGTTTTCACCTGTACGGAGATTTCAGTTCTCTCCTGTAGGGAGAGTTCTGTTTTCTCACCTGTAGAGAGAATTCAGTTCTCAGTTCTCACCTGTAGGGAGAATTCAGTTCTCTCCTGTAGGGAGAATTCAGTTTTCACCTGTAGGGAGAGTTCTGTTTTCTCACCTGTAGAGAGAATTCAGTTCTCAGTTCTCTCCTGTAGGGAGAATTCAGTTTTCACCTGTACGGAGATTTCAGTTCTCTCCTGTAGGAAGAGTTCAGTTTTCTCACCTGTAAGGAGATTTCAGTTCTCACCTGTAGAGAAACTCGGTTTTTGATGAGAAGCCCAATTTTGATATCCATAGTGTCAAGGTCATGCTCTAGCTGCTGTGTTGACCGGATCTCTGTCACTACCTGCTGTCTAAGCCTCTGAAGTTCTGCAAGAAAAACAAAGTTCCTCAAGGACAAAAGAACAAAAGAAGGCCTAAAATTTAAGGTAACAGATGTTCCAAAGGGCCCCAGGTAACAACATCTCTACAGGACCCATGGTAGGCAGTGTCTTTTTATCTACTTAAACATGGCTGCCTCTCCTGTATTAATGGAGAAAATAAAAATATATTTTCTAGTCTTTTCATGGCTGAATATCAGGGCAAAATTTATCACTGGTAACAATGTTATGAAAATTCCCAAGTAACAAAGAGTTTCATTGAACATGAAGAAACAAAGCAATTCAAAATCATTACATACAGATTTATACACAAAAATTCCAAAATTTGTATCAAACAGTTATCTCCCATCCACATGATGTACATATCCAAATAAGGAAACTAAATATACATCCTTGAGATAACTTACCTATCTCTTCTGAGTAATCTACATCACTGGTGTCCAGCAAATGTACAAATTTCTGGACGACGTTGAGAGGAGGGTTGTCTTCATGCACTGAGGAAAAAATCAAATACTTCAAAATCATTTGTACAAAATGAAATCCAAGATGGCTACATCTCTGCCAAATCAGTGCTATCACAATCATCTCAGGTTGAAATAAAAAAAATCCATCTATAAGCCACTTTTGACAAATCAGTCTGCATGTTTAACATCAAGAGATGAAGGAGATTTCAGGCAGAGGAATGTTCTTTCAGCACCTTCTGATGACTATCCACTTGGCCAGCTGACAGCCATTTATTTCTTTCTATCAAATACTTACAACAGTAATTCTAAGTTAAGAAGCAATGATATCATAGCTAAGTACAGAAAATATCTTCTGTTATAAATGATAACAAGAAATATTGACTCATTTCTATTTTCGGACTAAATTTGACCCCTGAACTTCCTCTGATTTACTTACTTAATGCTTTGTAGTCATGCTTAGCTTTGTTAGAACGTACAAATGCCTGGATTTTAATCACATCAGCTTCCTGTAAAATAGAATATTTAATCATTCAACACATCACTCATACTAAACATCTTTTATCAGATAGGACAATTAGTACATTCACAAGCACTTTTCTTAACGAAACCATTTGTATGGTATGCTTAGGTTTACAGGCCTGATTTGCTCATAATGAGAATCTAACTTCAGCTTGTAATGTAAAGACGTCTTGGAAAAGGAAAGTGGGAAAATATTGATTTAATTAAATCTTTGAACAATTTCAGTGTAAGTAATTCTGACAGATAAAATATCTGTTACATGCTGCTAATAAGTTTCAGACAAAAAATTATTTTCTTGTAGAACTACACAGGTAACAAAACAGTGATTTGTACTGAAGTTTTACATTACTGTGAAGTATATACACTTACATGGTCTTTGAAATATTTGAGCCGACGGCGATATTTGCTGGCCTCCCTCCACATACGAACAAGAGCTTGCAGCTGAAACGGGGGGAAAAAAAAGTCATCAAATTAGAAAGTTTTTACCAGATACTGCTAAAGAACTAATTTAATATAACAAGAGGCCTGGAGGGCCTGCATTGCTCTCCTAGACATTTAAGTCAATAATACAAAACTTTACATTTCTCTAGAAGGTAAATATTTCCCCTGATAAGTATCACCTCACAGATACAGCTTCAAATTCCTTTTGGGTGGGGACAGAGATCTGTTGTTAATCTCTTGATGTCAAGCAATGATATTTAGTTATGTGATGGTAATATCAATGGCTTCAAAGATAAAATCTGTCCTGGGGTGGGATCAGACCCCAGGACAAATTATCAGTTATGATTGTGTTTATCTCCTGATGCTCAGTAATGCTAAAGTTATTCAGTGGGGATCACAGCTGTTTCTAAGAATAAAAGATCCAAATAAATTGTTGATGGTGCAAAGCAATAATATGAAAATGAACTAAATCTCTTTGGGGTTAGATTTTCCTTGTTCATCTTGTCCCAGGGGCCGAGACCCACCATTTATACAAAACTGATTTTCAATCACCAAAGCATGCTTCAGAACATATTTGGACAATATCCTGCAATTCCCAAAGAACAATATAATATAGATTTTCAACAAATCAATAGATTTTCCTTGTTGGGCCATGCCCCTTAAGCCCCTGGGGCCGAAACCCACCATTTATACAAAACTGATTTTCCTTCAGGCTTCAGACTTTATTTGGACAGTATCCTGCAATTTTTAAAGAACAAGATGGACTTAAAAGAAATGGATTGATTTTCCCTACTGGGAAATTGCTTCACCTCAGTCTCAACGAGAAAAAGAATTTCTTTGAATGATATTTTGTGATGAGACAACCTAACTGCCAAAAGAATGCACATAACCACCCTCTGTCAATAATTTATGTGGAGTAAAAGATTGTACAAAAGCCACATAAATTATTAGCATCCTTCAATACAAATTTAGAAGAAGAGACAGTGGAGCTAAATAATAGATTAAACTACAGATGTTTCATCTTTCTAGGACTCATAAGGAATACTATTGGTCTAAACTTTGAAATCTAACCCTGAAGAACCAAGGAGAATCAAAACAGACTGAAAGAAATTAACCGAAAACCAAAATAGGTTGAAAGAAATAAATGTTTATATCCTGATGGGGTGGTGCACTCACCCATAATGCCAATTCATCTGTCATGTAACCTATATATATATCTCTGAGGCAATCTGATATGTATTGTGATAAAGAGACACTCACTTTGACGACAGCATCATAATTATCTTTCAGGTAAGCCATTCTGTCCTGGTATTCCTTACGCTGTTTATAACCTTTCCAACAGGCCTGAAAAACAAAACCAAACTTATCACACAGACGTTTAGACATTTGATCTTTTAACAAGTATAAACATCGGCTTAATGTTCAAGATTAACTAAACTTTTTAAAACTTTTTGTCTCATATAGACCATTTCAACAGTGAAACAATCATTTAAGATTGTGACCTCTTCTTATCATAGCTTTTAATCTGAATAAACTGAACAAAGCTTGTGATCCTATCTGAATGATGCTTGTAACCCCATCAGAACAAGACACTTTGGTGAATTACAGTCCCACATTGTCAACCCCCCCCCCCTTCCCAAGGTAAACCTGTACACAAAGTATGAAGTTCCAATGGTTGGTAGCATCAAACATAGAGCCTGGACAAACCTTTTTTGATGTAGGTCAAAGGTCAAAATATAGGTCTGAGTTACCTACTTTTAATACACAACACAATGACTCATAAAGGTGAACTCATACTCCAAGTATTAAGTTCCTGTGACAAGTAGTGTAGGAGATATAGCACACAGGCAAACTTTTTCTTTGATATTGGTCAAAGGTCAAAATGTAGGTAAAAGTGACCTACTTTTGATATATAACACACTGCTTCACCGAGATAAAGCAATATCTCAAGTGTGAAGCTCCAGTAACAAGTAGGAGACAGAACCTGGACAAGAGCAAAATGATGGATGGACAGAAAGACAGACACAGTGAAACATAGTCCCTAAAACACCCCCACCCCAACTCCAAATGGTGAACTGATGAATAAAAGTTTGTAACCCCAACTGAATAAAACTACCATTGTTTCAGAATTATAGTTAAAATCAGTTACACAATTAGATATGTATTTATAAACAACCAACATTTCTGAATTACCTGTATTTTAGTTATTGCTGGCAGTTGTGTGTTCATGAAGTTGACTCTTTCAGTATAGGCTTTCCTGGCCAGGTACCCTCTCACACAGGACTGTATCCGTACAATAAAGTTCTCATTGGCTTTAAATAAAAGTTCTCGGTCATGTTCTGCAGTCACTTCGGATACCACTTTCTATAAATAACAGAGAAACAAAAGGTTATAATATCACAAAATAAAAGAAAAATCATAAACACTGATAAAATGATACACTGATTAACCTAATCTGCACACCAGTAACTGTTAAAGGGTCAAAACTGGTAAACATGAGATCTCCTGTTTGAAACTGATGTTGGATGAAAGATATATCTAGAATTCAAGAAGTCCAAGCTACCATTGATGGAGATCGGACGGCTGATGCTGGCCTACCTGTACTTCCTCCTTAGTAAGCAGTTCGTGGTCCTTACACACACCATCCTGTCGGCTCCACGAATACTCCTGGTCATGAGTGTTATAGAAAAACTTGGAGCCATCTTTTAATCGGTTCATCATCCAACCACTTCCACATTCCCCTGTAACATAACAACATTATTTCTCATATATAACTGTATGTTACCCAGTAACATAACTATAATAATAAAATGGGAGGAAATTTAACCAAAAAGAAGAATTTAGAAAATAAATTGAGAAAGTTCTTCAGTTATATATAATCTTAAGGAAATTATGTACAAGAAAACAGAATCCATTACTCCATTACACTTATACAGTCAAACTCCAATAACTCAAAGACCTCATTTAATTTAAAGCATTCTGTCTGCCCCTGCCTAACTTTACACAATACATTTGAACTCACTTAAATCAAATATACATTTATCTTGAAATTTTCCCATGGTCATGCTAAGTTTGAGTTAACGATGTTCGAGTGTATGTTGAAGATCAATTAATATCAGTTTTGGGGTAACGTTCTGTAACATCTCATTTTCTGTTTTGTCTTTTTTTTTTTAAATTTAAAAAAATTTTTTTTTTCTTCAAAAAACAAAATGTTAGCACTCAACTGACATAAATTTAACACAGAATTTATCAGTTACTGTAGAAATATCAAATATCCACTTTTCACTTGTTGGGAGTTTTTCACCTTTTTGGGCTTTGCTGTTTTTTGCCTCCACCAGTCTCTGAAGGTACATATCTTTGCACTCAGGAACAACACTGTGTAAGGCAAGGTCACTTGTGGTCAAGGCGTCCAAAAGTAGGTCACTATCGTTTTCACCAGTTACTTTGTTCACTTCTTCGACAGCCAAGGATGCTGCAAATATAAAGTATTTGGTAAAATGAAAAATTTTCAAATAATATTGCCACAGACAAGGAAAAAATAAGAAAGAAAAACTACGCCACAGAAGAAAAAAAAAAAAAAAAAGAAAAAGAAGAAAAAAAAAAAAAAAAAAAATCCTAGTTTACCAAGATGTCTTCCATTTTTTTTTCATTTTTTTTCTCTCCATTGTTCAAATTCTGTTTTATAAAAATTTATAATGACATTGTATTCAGCTTGACCTTGAAACCCTGAAAAAAGAACTCATCAAACGTATCATCACACATGACCATTAAATACCTACTTTTCAGTCCGACCTCAGCATCTCTATTAGCATTTCCGATGGCATTTTGTATTTCTTCTACCCATAATTCAGCATCCCCGTCACTGGATTCCTGAAACAACAAACCACATTGTTCATTGTCTTGACAGAATCATGTAGATGCATGGTTTACCTACTAATAAGCCTATGACTAGTAATAAGTAGAATTACCCACAATGCCATTTTTCTGTAATAAGCCCTCCCTTGACTTTGAGTTTTTATGATTGTCTCATTGGGTGTCCTGAGCCAAAATACAGCTCATATTTTAAGACACTGGCCATGTAACCTATTTATCATGCAAAATTGGTTGAAAATCAGACTAATGAAGCTTAAACAGTTTTGTTGTTCCATCTGTGTTTACCTGATATTGACGTTACACTGAATTTTGCCTGACAGACACTGAAATAACATTGCTCCGCACGATTTTACAAATTTTCATGAATTAACTTGTTCATTACAACATGTAGAATTGTCTATTTCAACAAATATTTATATTTCTAAACACAATATTTAGGTCATTTAAGAGGGTCAAATTACCACAGGTGCTTAAATACAGCGGTTTTCTGTCAGTGCGGAATACAGCAAAAATATATGTGGCTGGCGCATTCCGACAATGGCAGTGCCAGTAGCAGGATAAAGTATAGTAATTACATGGTTATATGTTTTTTGATAAAACAAAATTCTTAAGGTACAGAGTATTAAATAAATATTATCCTGAATCCTCTTTATAACACTTCATTACAAACCAATTTAACAATCCAACTTGTTTGTACTGTGATGATACACCCCTGAGGTCAATCTAAATGACCTTGGAGAAATCAGCACAACTTTGGAAAGGTTGGACATGAAAATAAATTATCAAAATTGATTTGGCCAAAAGGATTATAGTAAAATTGGGTTAATTCTATCAAACTCCAAAGCACTGCAAGTATTTTCCGTATAAATAAAATATTAACTTTTATTTTTTGAACAATTGTGAAAACAATTTATCAAATTATATCAATAATTTTTGTCGGCCTGGTGGAAGCGCGTGAGGGGTTTTACTGTTGGGGAAACTATGGTACCCAGGGAAAACCAAAATAGATGGGCAGGTGACGACGTATCTTTCCCTGTCCATTTGAGGAATCAAACATTAAGTCACAAAGGTGAGTTTGTTACCATTGTACCACACAACTACCCTTCCTTGTAAAACTTTGGCAAAAATTCAAAGTTAAGCAGATTTTATTATCATTTAGATGGTACGGGATGCAGATAATTTGTGTACCTGTTCTTTGGAGGCGACTTCTCGACACAATAACACCTGGTATCTGTATGCGTTGCCATCCTGTACATTGTCTAACTTGGCTGTGGGCTCCTTGAGGGCAGTCAATGTTACTTGTGGGTTGCCCTCTTTGATAGCACTGTTGATATCTCCAATGGCTAGAACTCCTATAAATCAAAAGAATTTATCGTGTATATCACTTGGATACTTTACAAACTTCAAATCATTTTGAAGGATAAATATTCAGAATTTTCAAGAATACACTAATTCCTTGCAATACCTGTTCTGAATTTTTTTTTTTTTTTTTTTGAAATTGCAGGAGAATTTTTTTCCAATGCAATTTGTTAATCGAAACTTCTCAAAGCCTACATGTTTCTTTATCAAATATCCATAGTAACATACGCTGATGTTCCTCGGAGACCTGTTGGTTGACTTGATCTACACAGGAACAAATTTCAAAGTGGGTCAGCAGTGTACACGGTACCTGGAAAATAAAAGTTGATCTATAAACAAAAGAAAAATATATCACATTTCCATCTCTGTGGAATACAAATAATCAACAGAGAATTTAATCGACTTCTTGGCAACAGTAATATGCTAATCTCATAACACTGTCAATCTGGTGATGGTATGTCAAGTTGCTTTATGTTGAACATGTCAATCTGACATTGGGCTGTCAAGTTGCTTTATGTTGAACATGTCAATCTGACATTGGGCTGTCAAGTTGCTTTATGTTGAACATGTCAATCTGACATTGGGCTGTCAAGTTGCTTTATGTTGAACATGTCAATCTGACATTGGGCTGTCAAGTTGCTTTATGTTGAACATGTCGATCTGACATTGGGCTGTCATGTTACTTTATGTTGAACATGTCAATCTGACATTGGGCTGTCAAGTTGCTTTATGTTGAACATGTCAATTTGATATTAGGCTGTCTAAATGCTTACAATGTTGATCTGATGACCGACCAGCAAATATTACAAAAGCTACATGCTTGTAAATATATATATATATGGTATATGACTATGGAAAAACTTCCTACTAGCTTGCAATAAAAATGTGTAGTTTACAGGCCTTAAACTCAGAAATGCAAGCTACAAGCAGCAACAGTGAATGATTATGTTAACCATACTGAAAACCTGTCAGACTGAAACAGACACAATGCTGGTGATTTGATCCGGACTAGTATCATCCTCCCGCGTCTGGTTGTCATTAGAAATCCATGCTTTTTAACTGACTACATATATTATATTCTTTTGTCTGATGTCTGTTTCTGGGCTTAACTAGTGAGTAATATGTACAGCTGCAGACTCTCCCCACCCCTACCCCCTCCCCACTCTATAAATCTCAATGATCGTATCTTGATAGAAAAAAGGATTCCTATAAACTTATTTTCATATACCTCAGTAAACTACAAATTTAATTGATCCTATCCAAATTGAACAGTGCATTAGTTGTAAGAGAACAATCATGCAGACATGCTGATTGAGCAGTGCAGAGTTATAGTGATAATCTGATAAGTGCAAGGTAATACTATCAAGTGATTTGTTGTTTAGCGTCAATTATATTGACATATTGAACATTTGACACTGCTGAAGAATTATTTAGTAAATCTGAAAGGATAAGTATGTCAAAATACCAAATAAAAGTCAAACAGTGTTTCATTTTTTTTTTTTTTTAAACTTCTCTTTCATTTGAAATCGTAACTACTTGATCTTTTCATGTGTCCACTATAAGCCTCAGGTATATACTAGTAGACGTTATAGAGAGAGGTAACTAGAGTTAGGCAGAATAATAAGTTGCATAACATGATAACAATTGAACAATTGAACTCTGAACTCACACTAACTTTCTCAGCTGATTCACCCGCTTCCTGAATACTCTGTGAGAAAAAACACAGTTCAGATTGTAGTGATCTCAACCTTTTCCTGTACTGGTAGCATGGTACGTATACCTAGTGACTGTATCATCTTGTAATTCATCATTTCAGTCACTGAACTTATTCAAAATATGAAGACATATATTCTCAAAGGAGATTTAATATTGGAAAATTGTCTTTTATTGTCTCAAAAAAAGAGAATTTGAAATTTTGTCCTTTTTTTTATTCTGCTTGGTTTCAAATCTATATGACAGCTAAGATTGTACAACAACAGTGAAGAAACAACAGCTTAAGTCACGAGACATGAAAATGGTGAACACCAATTCACTATATGGTATTTTTCTTTACCTCAGTTTTTGTTGCCCTTGCGTTCACCAATCCTTTCTGGTAACGATCAAGGTTCTGCTCCTCTAGGTTAGGGATACAAGCATCTTCATTTGCCAGAGTTTTATATGTAGCACCTTGGTCCCCTACTTCTACTGCTTCGTTGATAGCAGCCACGGCAGACAATACTGGAACATTGATTGTAAGGTATATATTACATGGCGTTTTAGAGCGGATTTTTCAGTTTGGAATGATAATTATTTGAGAAGACTTTTACATTTAACACAAACAGTCCTTGAAAACCATACTTATGAGTTTGCTTCCTTTTATTAAGAAAAAAAGTGCAGTGTTTGTTATAGTGTTATAGATAACAAGAGGCCCATGGGCCTTAATGGTCACGTGAGTTCTTCAGGTTTTTGGACTGTTTTAGAACCTGTCCTCAGCATTGTGGCAGACGGAACATAACTGATACATGCAAACTTAAAAAGTTTTTATTGTTTCTGAGTTCGAAGGCTAAATTCTCAATTAAACAAACTGATAATACTGTCTGTTGTTGTAGTTAAATATACTTGACTCCTGTGACCTTGAATGAAGATCAAGGTTATTCATTTCTACAAACATGATATCCCTTTAACCCAGCATGACACTGGACTATTTGGTTATTGGGAAGAAGTCATTCAAAGATTTCAACACATTTGACCCATGTGACCTAGAAAATAGGTCAAGGTCATCCACTTAAACAAACTTGGAAGTCATTCATCCAAGCATGCTACTGACTCAATACCATGACGCCTGATCTTGTGCTTATTGAGAAGAAGTTGAGAATGTAAATTGTTTACGACACACACGCATAATGCCAGACAAAAGTCGATCACAACTGGTCACTTGAGACTTTGTCTCAGGTGACCTAAAGATCTTCTCAAATTATACTAAGTGTTATGTCTGGAAAACCCCAGTCATACAGATCTGAGACAATGTAATTTATATTGGCAGCTAAGATAACTTAATTCATATAGAACTGGAAATTCATTATAATTAGTATTTGTAGTACTGGTATCTCTGTGTGTGCTAAACACTTTGAATTTATTTTCTTTATCATCACCTGGCCAGTTGTCTGATTGAGTGATCCACACCCACCCAACCCCCTCTCACTAATCACTTCCACTGAAATCCCTTCAAACCCTACTCCAAATAAAGAAGTTTTTGTTTTTACCTTTTACTGCAGCATATATTTCATCATAGTCCAGGTCATCCTTTTAAAATACAAAACATTTAACTTTGTCATCAATTCATCCAAATCTACATCTATCTTTCTATCGAAAATTCTTATTAACGGACAGTTACATATTACAGAACCAAAGGAAGGGCAAAAATTGTAAAACACACACAAGGGAGGAGTACCTTTCCATACAAATTCAGAGTAACATACAGTTGAGATTTTCATACAAATTCAGAATTAAATACAGCTGAGCAAAACATTAAACTGAACTGCATCATACTTCTAGGACTCCACAGTGATGCTCTAAGGGCCTAAATTTTGAAGTCATGGAGGCAACTGAGGAACATTAAAAGTACTTTAAAGAAATGTGAAAATCTAAATGGGAACCAATGACTAAATAACTATTGATAAATTTCACCTTTTTTTATGTTCATAATAAACAATCACTCATGTTAACATGTAAGCATGTACCTGTTTCTCCTGGCGCATGTTAAAGAACTCTTCGAGATAAAGGGCATCGCCATAGGGATTGACTGGCGGTAGTTTTGCCGCAGGGTTCTGAAGAGCCCTCATGAGCATGGCAGGGTCTCCATTAGTGATGGCTGCATTGATAGCAATCACAGACTGAGCTTCTGTTGAGGCAAAAAAAAAGTTATGCTTAAAGGTGGAGTCATTAATCACATGTTTACAATCATGTCATGTTTTTGTATCTGGTACTATATAAGGTTTGGTTTGCTTGATATTGGTAACATCATATCCACAGTTATGGATCAATTGTTGTGTGCTAGGTGAGGGCATGTATAGAGCACATGTGCTTATGTGAGGCTGTAATTTGTTTCTGTAAGCCTCTTTGTGATTTATACTGCTAAGGCCCTCTACAGGAAACCCCATCCAGTCACATTATACTGGCAACATGCAAGCCTGTTGTTACTCTACCATTATGTTGGGCAAAGAGTATTAAGTATATACACTGGCTGTGGAACAGAACCCAAAGCCTTCATCACAAAATTGAAGAAGTGTCAAGGGAGATATTAGGAAGAAGGAAGATTAGTTCCTTGTTAAGTTGTCTCTGATGATAAGACAATAGGGACAGCAGGTATTACTCTTTAGTCCTACGTGCAGTGCAGAAACTTGTGTTAAGTAATGTCATGACATGAAAGACGTTTGATAATCAAAATATTGATTTTCTCGTATAAAGAAAAAAGTGTTTGCAATTTTCTTCATTCTTGCTTTTCAAAGTTCCAATAAAATGAAGGAGAGTCTGGCATGGACACAATAAACACCTGTTCCAAGCCACCATGGATTTTGGAGAATACTACCCATCGAGGGAAGTTTTGGTCTATTTCAGGAAATGGACAGCCTTTTAATGTCAGAATATGTAAAATATGTGACATACATGAAGATTATATGAATGAAATATGACAATAAGGTTAAGGTTAAATTCGTATTTCTTTTTCATGATAGCAGAAATTGAATATATATTAAGTAAAATATACTTATTAGCCGTGTTTTGGGGGAAATTTTCCCTCTTTCGGATTTTTTTTTTTTTTTTTTTTAAATCTTTGCATTATATTTTCCTAATGGGTAATTTGTTTACATTCTGAGGGGGAAACATATCACTTGGGAATTACTACCCTTTTCTGGTCATGAAATGTGTGTAGATTAATCCCTAGACACACTGTCCAACCAAAATGCCACTAAGAAAGCAAAATTTCGTGTCAGCTACATGATATTTCATAAGAATTTGCAAAAATATCCTCTGGTACATTTTAATACTGGACACCAGTGTGTAGGGTGTTTGTACACTTACTTTGGTATTCTACATCAGCATCCAAGTTGGCTGCTGACACAGCTTGTTGGATTTCTTCCCTCTCCAGTATCACATCTTCTTCTCCATTGTTATTCTGGAGTAAACAGAAAAAAATTCCTGGACATACAACATGCTTTACATTTAAATACTGATACAACCATGCACTCCTACATAATCATCTCAGCCTACAATCAATTCAACTTATACTGATAACAAAGTATCCATCTTGCCTGTTTCTATGTAACTGCCTGAGGACTTTCATAAAGTATGAGACAGAAGTCATTTTTGCTTTCAAAAAATACATTTGTTTCTTTTTACGATTTTTTTTCTTTCTTTTTTTCTCTCTCATATTTTTTAACGTAAGCAAGAAAGGCTTATTTTGTATTACCCTTTTTTTGACTTGTTGGTAAATAGTAAATAAATATTTTAGATATACTTCCCACTGGCATGTTACGTTAATAGTCAGGATTACATATTACTTAAAACAAGCATATTAATTGAAAACTATTGAATGGGAGGATGTGTATTATGACACACATATTTTAATGAGCTAAATTTTAATGTTACAGCCCTAATATATACCTGTTTATTTTCATAAGACTCCTTGAGACGTTCCCTATAGTAAGGTATGTTGTCATCCTTGACGCCTTTCAGACCGAGGTACTGTGACTTTAGCGCCTGGAGTAACAGGGTGGGATCCATCTTCATCAGGGCATCATTTAAACGGTCTAAGGCATGTATTGCTGAAACAAGGGAGGCCACTCTAACATCACCAAATTTGATTTACTTGAAACCAAAATTACATTTTTATCAAATGACTGCATGAATAACAAAGTTTTCCTTTGCACAATTTAATTTCTCTAGCAGAGTTATTCGTCCCACAGATAATCACGTTTGACTATTGCTACACAACATCATTTGCCTTTCTCTACTGCAAACAAAAGTAACTACATTTCACGAGCCAGATGATAATGAACATGTGACCTTGTGTTATGATCAAATGACCTGTATATGATGTATTTGGATGAAGTATAACTTACTATTAACTTTATTGATGTTGCCTTGGATCTCTGCCTGCGTCAGCAGTTCATCGTAAACGTCATGTTCGTAGTTACCATCTGGGTCTAAACTCTATAAACACAAAAACATCCATTGAGAAGTTAATTCAAGTGACTAAAGCATTATTTCAAAGGCCAAATTTTTTTCTTTTGAAAATCCTTACACTGCTCAATACGTCTGACCTATTGCTATAGCTACATGACTTTCATAAACAAAATGGCAACCAACATGAAACTTTCTGTTGCCGATATAGGAGTTTTCAGAGTCCAAATCTCCAATAATTTAATCATTCGTGAATTCGAAACTATTTCTAGACCAATATTTGCAAAATTATGTATTTGCGAATATGTTGGCAGAGGTGATTTCGCCGGATAAAGAATTCGCGAAATCTAAGTGACTTACAGTAGTTGACAACAAAGTTTAGCTATCAAAATCGGTGTTTATTATCTGTGTTTTTCACTCCCAGCGATAAATTTTTCATGTTTCTGCTTCGATAGCATAAACCACCAAAGTTAATCAAATGTGAAACATTATAGTTTATCTTTGAAGTTGAGCACACTTTTAAGGGCAAACATGTTGATTTCTTTAGACAAAACTCAATAAAAATTTCCTCAGAAATATTTACCTCCTTTTGTACTGAAAATCCCATCTAAATGAATATAATGACCGCAGATGACTCTGCTATCATTTACAGACTTTCATCATTCCCTTTTAGGTCTAGGAATGACGATTTGATTCACAACAAAAATCTTTCACTCATTTGAAATTTTCATACATTTTTTCATCAGGAACCTCATCTGTATTTCACCTACACTACCAACATACCCATGCTCGGTAATAAGTCCATTTATACATATTCAGTAAAGTTACAAACCAATGCCTTATCTTTGTCTTGTAATACTGTACTTGACCTTATAAGTACACCTTCCCCCTATAAGAACACCTCACATTTTTTCAAGAAAAGAGGATGAGTGTACTAATTAAAACTTATAAAAAAGTTCCTTGTAAGACTGACCTGCCAATAATAGCTTCAGTCTTTTAATCAAAGACTGTTCAAAAGAGACGTAAAAAAAAAAAAAAAATTAAAAAAATGAAAGAAAAAAAGAAGGGCTGTTTTTTCTAAGCCACCGGTTACAGATAAGTGAATGATCTGTCAGTAATCAGCAGTAATAACTAGAGGTGTTACAATATTGACCCCACCCCCCACCCCATCCCCAAAATTTTATGCCAAGGAAATAATGAAAAATATTCAGTTACTTTTCTTTCACCCTAATTTTCACACGGAAGCTTTCCCCTGTTATTATGCACATTCCTTTTGTGATTTTATAAACAATGCATTTATTAGTTAGAATACAGTAAGTCTGTCCAATGACTAAATAATAACATCTAGAAGTGTCCCCCCATTATCCCTGAAGGAGGACACAAAACCGTCCAAACTGGTGAAATTCAAGACTTTAACCACCTATTTTATAGCAATTTCCTATATGAATACATGGTTAATGTAAAATGTAACCCCCCCCCCCCCCCCAATTAACAATGGGGAACACTGTGTCATGAAAAAGTTATAAACAATTATCAATGATGATTCAAGGTATCAAATAAATTTAACCAAAGTACATTGTAAAATGAAGCAGGAACAAAACTTGTTTGATAATTAGTAACATTTTGTGTCTCAAAGCACTCATAGCTGAAAGTGATGAATTGCCCTGAAACACTGATTTTACTATGTAGAGGTAAGAGAAAATGCCCTACAGCACTAGTAAACAGTAATTCCACAAGGAGCGTCTGCTGGCCTGTAACTCTTTGTCAAACAAGAATGCAAATTAACCCAATATTTCAGCTAAACAGAAGCCATTAACTAGGAAAACAGATCAAAGAATGCCCGTCTGCTCGTCTGAAGTCTCCTTTATCACAAACCAACCCCCTACAATCCATCACAATACTCTGCAACACAGTGATTTCTCAAGGGGCAAAATAACTTTATAGTTTTCAAATTTGTTTTTCTTCATATTTTTGAGATGTTTTGTTAACATAAAGAACTCCAAAACTCTCAACATCCCTGCATCAGTTGGAACTGAATAAAAATTGGACCAACAGCAAAGCTGATAAAAACAGTATTCCAATTTATCAGAAACTGGATTAAAAACTTAAAAGAATTGAAAAACTGCACAATGAAATATCATTGCTAGACAAACCTGTATTACCAATTATTTAAAAAAAAAAAAAAAAAAAAATCATTTTCTAAAATCTCTGAAGGATACTACATTTTGTTTGTCAATCATTGCCTGAAAAAAATCCCAGATGTCTTGAAGCAACACAAATGCCCCTGCCTGTAAACAAAGGAAAAGTTTCCAAATTGAAGTCTAGCCGGCAGAATCTATGATCAAGAAATAAAATTGTTCTTTCTGGAGATAATGTGTTTTTTAGAATCATATTGGAGTTAGACAAAGCTCTCCAATATTGTTTTTTCATTTCGTTGTTGTGGTTATTTACACGAAAACTTACACTTGAAAGCTTATTGACTATAATCAAACCTGAACATGACCCTACGTATTATTACTATAAACTAACTACCCAATCACAGTTCTATATCTGTTCATTTGGTGGAAGCAAAATCAATACAGAACAGCACCGAGGGTAACACTCTCTACCCTCAGCCATATCTGTCTGCTAATGTTACCGAGGGTAACACTCTCTACCCTCAGCCATATCTGTCTGCCAATGTTACCGAGGGTAACACTCTCTACCCTCAGCCATATCTGTCTGCCAATGTTACCGAGGGTAACACTCTCTACCCTCAGCCATATCTGTCTGCCAATGTTACCGAGGGTAACACTCTCTACCCTCAGCCATATCTGTCTGCCAATGTTACCGAGGGTAACACTCTCTACCCTCAGCCATATCTGTCTGCTAATGTTACCGAGGGTAACACTCTCTACCCTCAGCCATATCTGTCTGCCAATGTTACCGAGGGTAACACTCTCTACCCTCAGCCATATCTGTCTGCCAATGTTACCGAGGGTAACACTCTCTACCCTCAGCCATATCTGTCTGCCAATGTTACCCTCAGCCATATCTGGTAATGTTACACTCTCTACCCTCAGCCATATCTGTCTGCCAATGTTACCGAGGGTAACACTCTCTACCCTGAGCCATATCTGTCTGCCAATGTTACCGAGGGTAACACTCTCTACCCTCAGCCATATCTGTCTGCTAATGTTACCGAGGGTAACACTCTCTACCCTCAGCCATATCTGTCTGCTAATGTTACCGAGGGTAGCACTCTCTACCCTCAGCTGTCTGGTAATGTCAATGTGTAAAGCAGCAATGTCTACTGTCAACAACGTACATCTTTAAGTATATCATTAATCTGTACCATATAAGGAGATCACAATGACCCGAGATATGGGGTAAAGGTCAATTGATGAACAGAAACGAAGAGGAAGAGCACCAGCTGAGCAATCTTTATGACACCAACTTAATAGCTAATAAGGGGTGGATTGATAAGACAAACCATCCCTCAAACTGCTTGCAGTAAAATAGTGCTATTGGCATGAAAATGTATCTTGTATGTATTATTTGAACATGTGATGTGTATACATGCAAGTATTCTCTTGATGTACATCTGTGTGTGTGTGGTCATGTATACATGCATCCATGAACATGAAAATGTACGTTAGTGTGGAAGTGTGCTTCTCACATGTATATACTACTGCTATAGTATGTACCTGTCATTGTATTGAATAAAACATTGAATTGCAAAAAAAAAAAAAAAAAAAAAAAAAATTTATCAATAGTTCAACCACACTGTGCTTCTTTTTAGAAATATAAAGTAATTGTATTGTTATTAAAAAATAAAAATGTCTAATTTTGGATACTTTGTGAAATAATAGTGAAAACATCGCGAATGAAGTTGTTAGGTGGTATATACTGATTTGGGATGGGACGGACGGACATGGGCAACGCTATAATAAACTTATTGTGGATGCTTTTAAAATAGCGATTTAAAACATCGCTGCATTATTTATGCAGAAAATTGCCGCTAGAGGGCTCTAACTCTTTTCGATATTTCAGCCAATGAGAAGCCCAGGATCGGTAAATTTTGTCTGAAAGGCCGTCGCAATAGGCTGTCTTGAAAAGACAGCTGACTTGATACTTTGGTCCAAATGTCCATCAACGTTTGCACTTCATGCTTAACAAAGGAAACAATGTTTTCAAAGGTTTGAAAACCCAGTTTTCACATCTTTTTGAATTCAAAGATTATTATTCCCAAGCACATGGACCTACATTTTCTAAACTTCAATCCCTCTGAAGTAGTAGGTTTCTTGTCTAATCGGAGTTCCTGAATCAAACATGATATGATAGTTACCTTATTGTGTGCGATGTCTCTCTTGGTTTGTTTTGCACAGAAAAGTAATTCCTGGTAATCTTCTGATCCATCAGTCCTCAGGTTCACCAACATGGCTGACGGATTTTGAAGTGCTGCCATCGTCTCCTCCGAATTTTCATGATCAACAGCCTCATTGATGGCGATGATGGCAGCATGTACTGCCGAAGAAAAGTCCCATCAAACATACAATACACAGTGCTGACACTCAATATTCAGTTAAAATGCTCTCACCAGACATTATCTCTAAATAGGTTCTAAAGCAAAATAATTAATTTTAGCACGTTTTCAAATCTACACTGATTTCACGAGTTTTATTAATCAACAAGTTCATTTGTCTGCAAATAATTTAAGTGTTGATATTCCACTTAGATTTTGTGTTAACTTTTTTCCTTTTAAAATCAAGTGCTCACACATTAACATCTTTTAAAACAAACCATGAAATCTGAGCACTACAAAAATATGTGCCTATATTGTACATAAAGTTATCGAAATAAAATTCCTATTACATATACCATATTTTTTTGGTATAAGCTGCACCAGTATATAACCCGCGGGGCCAGTTTTCAGAGACTTTTTCGATTTGATCCACATATAAGCCGCACCCTTTCTTACAAAATGATAACTATTACGTTGACCAAAGTTCGTTGATATAACGGACAATGGAGGGCAAGTTATGGAGATCATCAGTGAAACATTTAATAAAGTTTGCAAATGAATTTTACACAGATAATTCCTTATTTTATAGATGTATTTAAAAAAAAAAACGTAAAATAGCAAATATCGAACTTGTTTGGCTTGGGTGCCTTCACAGATTGTCTACCCACAGATATAGGGCCTGTTGTTACATATGGTTTACAATATCTCAACCAGTGTCTGTACTGTTTGATATTAACAAAGGTCATTGCACGCTGACAAAATTCTTACAGTCCCATAAATCATTTCTTCTTGTAAGTTACATGAAGTCGTTCAAATTGTAAACAAGCATGGTGTCATGCTAAAATATAACCTATAACCCAGTGCCTATCAATCCCAGGATGCAACAGGCAATTGTAAACTTATACTAAGGTTTCAAAGTGACCTAGAATGTCCAGAAGATATCATTGTGATTCATATTAAAAGGTGTAATTAATTAAATCCATGAGAATGTTATTTTTATTTCAATGTTCAAATCCTCCTGTATACGATTGCAAATGACAGTTCTAGACGATCCATTTCAGTCATAAACACATGACAGGCAGGTACTCATACGCTTCCTTGGTTTTTTGCATCCTGCCAAGTTTTTTGTGGTCCACATGTAAGTCGCATCGGTATATAAGCCGCATGCCTGACTCTTGAGGTAAAAAGGTGCGGCTTATAATCCAGAAAATACGGAACTCCCTAATCCCTAATTAAACTAAACATTGATTTCTATAATGCTTTTCATGTTGATTGTACCCTATAAACATGAACCATCAGTGATACCACCACTAAAATTATAAAACAAGTTTGACGCGTCTAAACAAACACTTCTAAGTTGAAATATCCTACCATATATACAGTGTGGCCAAAAAATGTGCATAAGATCATATACTCACAGGCAGCGTCATCCACACTGAGCTGTAAACAAAATTAAGTCTCTTATTAGCTCATTATTTAACTTTACAAAACAGTCTTAAACCTTAAACTAAAATTTAAAATTTACAGACTAAAGTCTCAATTCAATCTCAAACCACATGCCACAACTATCATGTAATATTATTTGAAAATATTCTAAATAATCATAAAGTAATGGTGACCTTGAACTTTGAACCCTCAATACAAAGTCATCAAAGGTATTCTCACATCAGTAGACTGTTCGTAGCAACTTTTGTACAACTTGGATCAACATTCCAGAAGTCGTGGATGTATTGATATCAGACATTTTTACCAGTGACTTTCTCTAGAAAAAGGAGGATACTTTAAAACCACTTTCCTGATGTCCTTATTTGTGGATCAAAATAAACAAAAGATCTCCTCACATTGTTATCATCAAAATTCAAACTAGCACCACCCAAAAAAGTTATTTATAAAGACTTCGGGCAGTAATAAATTATACCCACAGAAACCCTCAAACCAAGTATCGGTACCTTAGAACATTTATACAGGAATTTTTAATGCCTCACAATACTTGTTCCAAAAACTAAATTTCTGTAAAAACCAATGCTGGTGCTACAACATAATCTCCCCTACTCTTTGAGAAGCGAGCTAAGAAACAAAATGAGCAGGGTCTTATATAGATAAAACCTTCATCTGAATCTTGTACACAAAGCTAATTATTTACAAAATGGTCAAGAGAAGAGTGATCTCTGACATTAAACCTTGACCAAAGACCACGAAAATCTATAGTAAGGTATAGTCCTTGGTATTATGATTCTCTGGTGTAAATATGAACCAAATCTGTCTGGGCGTTCATGAGATATCATGTACACAAAGTGATTAACTCCAGCCCCCCTTCCCCTCCCCAAACTTTATCTACATGTGGGGTATCTTTACATCATTAATTACCTCGTTAGCTAAAATTCCTCCTATTTTACTGAATGCTGGCATTTGGATTCCATACTTTTCCAATTCTAGTCTCATGGCACTGATTTCTTCCTCTGTACAATAAACACAACATTAGGGTGACAACATGTCATATGCTTTGATATAAAATCACTATAACGTAATCTTTTATTATGACAGTGCATACTTCAGAGCTTTTTACTGCCAGTAGTATGTTCATCAACATAATAGTAACCTTCAAAAGGGCAGTGAAAATTTTCGTTTGTAGCTTCCAAATTTCACAACAGTTTCCTGTTAGTATAACAGGTAAAAAAATTTGTTAACTATATCTGTCATTTGCTACACCAGTAACACTGTCAAGGACAGCTTTAAGTATATAGGGGAATAAAAATGTCAGGCAGGGGAAATTAATATAATGTGAAATGTCAAGGTCATTCTCAAGTCAGTCTATAAACAACCAGTTTTACACCTTAAAGTAGGATACAATTTACATGTAATTCAATTGGCAAGTTTTCTTGCTATTAACTTATAAATTAAATACACCTTTGTCTCACACATACCTTTTAACTGAATATTGTTATACAAATTAAATAGAAGATGGATTTTGTCGTACCCTTCTTTTGTCAATTGTATTTTGCCATGAATTTACCTGTAAAATAGACTATGTCATACAATTTACCTGTAAAATGTACTTTGCCAGTTTACCACCTAATCAAAGTATTTTGTAACACAACATACCTGTGAATTGTACTTTGCCAGTTTACCCCCTAATCAAAGTATTTTGTAACACAACATACCTGTGAATTGTACTTTGCCATACAAATCTTGAATCTGTGGAGCAATTCCAAGCTTGAAGCAATATAAACTGAAAACAGAAAACACCAAAATTGCAATAATAAACTGGCCAAAACCGGGAACCAAGGAGTCGTGGTAACCATGGAATCAACATTCCTGGAAAATCATGGAGTCACCATCCCTCAGTAACCATGGAATCACCATCCCTAGATAACCATGGAATCTTTATCACCCAGGAACCATGTAATTACCTTTCCTAGAAAATCATGGAGTCACCATCCCTCAGGAACCATGTAATCACCTTTCCTAGAAAATCATGGAGTCACCATCCCTCAGTAACCATGGAGTCACCATGACTCAGTAACCATGGAGTCACCATCCCTTAGTAACCATGGAGTCATTGTCTCCTTCATTATCCCAAGGTAACCATGGAATCAACCCTATGTACATCACGATCTCAAAGTTACCATGGAATCAACCCTATGCACTGCTTCACTACCTCAAGGTAGCCATGGAAACTATCCCATATACTGTCTCCTTCACTACCTCAAGGTAGTCATGGAAACTATCCCATATACTGTCTCCTTCACTACCTCAAGGTAGTCATGGAAACTATCCCATATACTGTCTCCTATTACCTCAAAGTACTGTAAATTTGAGTGTATAGTGTACACATTTTTAGACAAAAACTGTTGTGTGAAAAAGGGGGTGCGTACTATACACAGGTACATGCCATTCTAGGGGTTATTATTCTCGATTCTTGTCCACCATATTGGATTACCTCCCTTCACATTGTTATATTATATTTAGTTGTCGGTCATATATGATAGATAAAAACAACAAAGAATAAGATAAATTTCGAATGTTTTAATGCAATTATTTTTTGTATATAGAGAAAACAACTTACGACTGATAAATCCATAGAGCACTAAGTAGGAAGCAGTTCATAGCACTGAAGTTACTTTTCACTAAACACAGGCACGATCACTTTCATTACTATGTGCTATACAAACACAGTCACTGGAAACCCTTCAAATTCCTCCTCATCATTGTCACTGTTAAAGAACGCCGGATTGAAGTCTGCCTTGGTAGATTTTTCGTTGTCGTGGTCAAACAGGTCGCAATCATTCTCATTATTGTCCTCCATGTCAACATCAACGGCGGGTCCACTATCAGCCCATCCCATTAATGCTTTGAAGTCAGTGACCTTATGACCTCTCTGGATCTGCATGGCCTGCAACCGCAATTCTGTTGTACTGACAGCAATGTCAGCATCTCGGCAATTGCATACAAAGTTATACAGCTCTCTCTCCATCTCTTTCGGCGTTTCTGGTCAGGGGTTGGGACTTCAGGTGTTCTTTTTTCTTTCATTGTCTGAATGTTGCATTCTGGGATGTCAAAGTGGGTTGGCACAAAACCCAAGTCTTTCAGTGTAGTCAATGGTGTCCAGTTTCTCTTTGGTTGTAAATGATGTTCGCTGTTTCCCCATGTCGGATGTTGATGTAAGCAATCTATCATTAAGTACCTTCAGATACCATGGTGGGTACAGATACCATGGTGGGTACAGTACCATGGTGGGTACAGATACCATGGTGGGTATAGTGGTGGTTACAGATACCATGGTGGGTGCAGATACCATGGTGGGTATAGTGGTGGGTACAGATACCATGGTGGGTACAGATACCATGAAAGATCATACCAATACGGAACATATCACCTGCTTTTATGGGAATGAGGTAGGACTGAACATTTTCAGACTGTTAAAACAACATCATTTTCAGACCAATAGCACGTGTTCAGCCCAAGCCGAGTGTCATCAAACTCCTCATACTCAATGTTTTACCTGTTCATAAGCCTTAGTTATCCAATTAGTCTAGCCTTCCATGCTTGTTAAGTCAGGCACCTGCATGAATTTGTTTACATAAGATAATTAAATATGTTAGGGTCATGCTCATTGTGGTCCAAATTATCGATGGATCAAAACATCAAATGTAGCACCAAGGTAACCAGTAATCAATATATATATAATACATATACATACATATATGTATATGTACTTTTTTTTTCAATCTGACCCCAAAAACATACTTGCACACTATACCCTCAAATTTACGGTAACCATGGAATCGACCCCATGTACTTCACTACCTCAAGGTAACCATGGCACCTACCCTATATACTATTGTCTCTTTCAAAACTCCATGGTAACTATTGCATCTACCCTATATACTTCACTACCTCAAAGTAACCATGGATTCATTCCTATATACTATTGTCTCCTTCATTACCATAGAACCAATTGCATGTACTATTATTTCCTTTACAACCCCATGTAACCATGGACTCCACCCAATTGACCATTTCCTCATTCATTTCCCTAAGGTAACCATACCACTGGCCCCAGAACACCATTAGTTTCATTACCCTATGGTTACATAAACTATAATTTGACCCTAGGGTAATGCTCCCTCCTATCTCAGCCTTGAACGATCACCATATTCCATAGAGAGAGTAACGTACTGTCAGTAAGTTTACCCGTGCCAAACATCTTTATTGTAAAATCAATACCTTACTTTCTGATAAGACCGGTCTGGTTACTGTTGGTTACGTGATGTAGGAACAGCTAGAGAGAGTATGCTGGGTCATACTGGCATGTCTTCTTTCCAGTATGCCAGCTTTCCTAAACACTGCCAAATTTGCTTTGGTTGAAAACTTTTGCTTACAAGATGTATTTGGTATCGACCTTAAACACTGCAACTTTGGATAATATCAATCATGCTCACTGAATTGTCACTCTAGTGCTGATACAACTCTTAATATACCACTTCTAACTGTGTAGCCCCGACATTGGAAGTATCCCTCTACATCCATGTATGAAATATCAAACAATATTATCTCTTTATTGGTGGGATCCTTAAGTAAATATGTGGTTTGATATGTGTTTACATTGAATAAAAATTCCACACCGCGATCTACTCATTATTTTGAGAGGATACAACTTATATTTTTCAGCTCCCCTTCTGGTTTTAAGCATTTATTTCAACCAATTAGGATTTTCCCCAGTTGCCTCCACAGTTTCAACAATTTAAGCCCTAAACATCAGGATGAGAAAAACGGCTATATGATGTAGTTTTATTTGTTATTTGGCTCTACTGTATCAAACTCAAAATCTTATATAGAAAGAGGCTTTCTTATACCACATACAAAATACAAATTTGACTTACAGAAGCAATACCTATAATCACTCCAATGCACAATTAACAAGGAAAATGAGTTTCTTGCCCGAGATATCTATGACTAATGATGGGAAATTCGTTAAAATCCACAATCAAGTATCAGTTAAAATCACATAGGCTTTTCGTCATAGCTAATCAATTACATAATTGTCTGACTACTTAAATATCTATAGAAAGTGAACACATTTTCTGTCAAAGAATTTAAAAAAAAATTTTTTTTTTGGTATCTTTAACCTAAAATACCTCATTATCATAGAATTTGCACATGAATGAATGTTATTGGCAATTTCAGTATGCGAAATATTAATTCAATTTTTGCTAAAACACAAGAAAATACTAAAGTATTGATTATAGATTATGAACAATTACAATTGATCATTGTGACAAATGAGGCTGATTAGATAATTGACTACATTCAGTCATCATCCTATCCCTAGTTATAGTTTAGCATACAAACTGCTGGCAATTTTTTATCAAAAAAAAAAACAAAACAAAACAAAACAAAAAAAACCCAAAAAACAAAACAGTTTTACAATAACTAAAATACTTAGAACTGCAAAATATAAATTCAGTTTACAAAAATTATTTCAATACCATCACCTTGAAAATATCAATAAAAATTTTCAATAATTGCTAGAATACTTTGATCTAGAATACGTTGATCTTTCGAAGTTTTAATTTAATTGAAAAAACTGTTTAAGGTTTTCAACAATACAGAAATACTGGTTTTATTGATAATGAAATGACAACAAGCTTCAGTGCTGAAAATACCGCAAAGAAAGAAAACAAATCGACAGACTACATTCTGTAGATTTTCATGTGTGAAAACACAATTACCACAACAAGGGATATCTGATCTAGAATTCCACAACTAACTGTAACTCAATTACTTTTACACATAGATGCACTGACGCTAACCCATCAGACACGATGACCCGTCGACACTAATCTTCTGCTGCATCGTCGCATTTCTTAAGCTATTTTACAAATCTCTGTTCTATTATTGACTGTGCACTAAATCTATGTCTCCTTATTGGTGATAAATCATTGAACGATACATTCTAATTTATCTTTCCTTTTATTGGATTTTCATGATAGCAGGTTCACTGCCATGGAGAACGCCTTCCATAAAATTGGGAGCCTGACGTGAAAGGAGAAATGTATGACTGTTGTGGAGGGTGGAGGGAGAGAGGTATGACTAGTGTGGAGGGTGGAGGGAGAGAGGTATGACTAGTGTGGAGGGTGGAGGGAGAGAGGTATGACTGGTGTGGAGGGTGGAGGGAGAGAGGTATGATTAGTGTGGAGGGTGGAGGGAGAGAGGCATGACTGGTGTGGAGGGAGATAGAGGTATGATTGGTGTGGAGGGAGATATGTATGACTGGTGTGGAGGGAGATATGTATGACTGGTGTGGAGGGAGAGAGAGGTATTACAGGTGTGGAGGGAGATAGAGGTATGATTGGTGTGGAGGGAGATATGTATGACTGGTGTGGAGGGAGAGAGGTATGACTGGTGTGGAGGGAGAGAGGTATGACTGGTGTGGAGGGAGAGGTATGACTGGTGTGGGGAGAGAGAGGTATGACTGGTGTGGATAAAGAGAGGTATGACTGGTGTGGAGGAAGAGAGGCATGACTGGTGTGGGGAGAGAGAGGTATGACTGGTGTGGGGGGAGAGAGGTATGACTGGTATGGAAGAAGAGAGGTATGACTGGTGTGAAGGGAGAGAGGTATGACTGGTGTGGAGAGAGGTACTGGTGTGGAGGGAGAAAGGTATGACTGGTGTGGAGGGAGATAGGTATGACTGGTGTGGGGAGAGAGAGGTATGACTGGTGTGGGGGGAGAGAGGTATGACTGGTGTGGAAGAAGAGAGGTATGACTGGTGTGAAGGGAGAGAGGTATGACTGGTGTGGAGAGAGAGGTATGACTAGTGTGGAGGGAGAGAGGTATGACTAGTGTGGAGAGAGAGGTATGACTGGTGTGGAGGGAGAAAGGTATGACTGGTGTGGAGGGAGAGAGGTATGACTGGTGTGGGGAGAGAGGTACGACTGGTGTGGAGGGAGAGAGGTATGACTGGTGTGGAGGGAGAGAGGTATGACTGGTGTGGGGAGAGAGGTATGACTGGTGTGGAGGGAGAAAGGTATGACTGGTGTGGAGGGAGAGAGGTATGACTAGTGTGGAGGGAGAAAGATATAACTGGGTGGAGGGAGAGAGGTATGACTGGTGTGGAGGGAGAGTGGTATGACTGGTGTGGAGAGAGAGGTATGATTGGTGTGTGGAGAGAGGTATGACTTGTGTGGAGGGGGAATGATTAATAAGAAAAATGTTATTGGCCATTTTGGACATACTTGACCCCTTAAGGGGTTCCTGAAACAAACTCTGACATTTCAGCCTAGCAAATACAACAGAAAAAATATAGTGACTCCAGGCATATTCGTTATTATTTCATTAGAATAGTTGATGGCAGATGGGAAGACAGATGCAAAATGGATGTAAAACTGAACAAATGACCTTCAAGCAGGTAAGCTGAATCTTAAGTCAAGTTATTCTAAAAGTTCAGAAAAAAAGGACAAAAAAAACCCTGATCTTTTATCTCTGGTTATTAAAAGCTCTCTCCACAGCTAGGCTAGTAGCTTTACCAATAATTGATTTTTCAGTGACATTTTGGCCGTCTGCTATAATAACCAGAGGACACTACCACTGTCTGTGTTATGTTCTAGTTAATTCCCCACTGTCTACAAACATTTCTCTGTAGGCTAATTGTGCTCTGTTCTTCTGTCTTAAAGTGTTAATGTTGATCAGCTCCAATACCATTATCTATAATTGATTTTACATGAACTTTTCTCCAGGAATATTTCAGTTCCATTGTATATCCTAAATATACGGCAAATTAAGCTCTTTTAACAAAAACTGAATTTTCTTTGAAATGTCAAAACAATAAAAAAAAAAAACATTAACGGTAATCATTTATCTATGGTTTTTAATATCTGGCAAAATGGGTTTTTCGATAAATTTTTGCAAATTAATTAAAAAAATAACTTTTGTTAAAAAAGAACAGAAAAATGTCTGCTTTAGATATTGAATATACATGATATCCATTTATCCTCAATAAGATCTATACATTACTGACCAGTATAGTTTAAACACAAAGTTGTTTCATTGTCTTCAAATAAGATGTCCTTGATTTTGAGTCTGACATAACATGTTGGCCCCCGGGCTTATTGCAGGATAAAGACAGTTTCTGTGCTAGTTGCCTTTAATAAGCTGTCCGTTTATTTTGAGTCTGACATAACATGTTGGCCCCCGGGCTTATTGCAGGATAAAGACAGTTTCTGTGCTAGTTGCCTTTAATAAGCTGTCCGTTTATTTTGAGTCTGACATAACATGTTGGCCCCTGGGCTTATTGCAGGATAAAGACAGTTTCTGTGCTAGTTGCCTTTAAATAAGATGTCCGTTGATTTTGAGTCTGACATAACATGTTGGCCCCTGGGCTTATTGCAGGATAAAGACAGTTTCTGTGCTAGTTGCCTTTAAATAAGCTGTCCATTGATTTTAAGTCTGACATAACATGTTGGCCCCTGGGCTTATTGCAGGATAAAGACAGTTTCTGTGCTAGTTATTAACCCTAACAGAGGATACAAATATCTTTTTTCATTTCATGACCTACCTGAGGGCATGGAGACAGTATATTGTTCTCGGCATATTCTTCCGGTCATAAATATCTGTCGTCTCTGGATAAAATATCTGAAAATAAATTCATACTTGAAATATTAAAAAAAAAAACAAAAAAAAACAAGAATCCAGCATACTGATACAAGACCTTTCATTTATTTGGTACAATTAATAAATATATCAGATATCAAATACACTGACCTTTGACCTTCGAGCCTCAACACAGGACTCAAAATACAAAAATAATCTGTATTTCATTTAATACTAAACTTCACATGTACAGGGATGGGGTTTTCCGATTCATATTTGTTTTCACTGGGTCTGGTTCATCGAGAACTAAAAACTTGTCAAGTATTTGTACAGATTGTATTGCTGGGTTGAAACATGGTTATCAACACCACATGAAGTGATAGGTGAACGCTGAATTCCACCAATAAACATTTGATTTCGACTGCAGCATTCATGAATGTAAGCCCTTGAAAAACACATCCTACAATCAATAGTAGCACTTCAGGGAATGTTCCTTTCTTTAAAAGCCATTAAGACATTGAGGAAAAATCATTAGTTAACATGTTAATAGCAGACACTCAATAACGCATACACATTTAATTGTTTTGAAAATTTAAGATTAATGTTAACCAGGACTATAAAGTGCTTTCCTAGAAACCTTCCATCTTTTAAAGAGTCTGTATTTACAAAAACCATAATTCACAAGATCTAGAAACATAAAGCTTGACTGTTACATGTATAGTATCACATTCCATAAGTCTGGTATGTGGCACTCCAGACAAAGACCATTAGACGACTGCATGTTGTATATCTATTAGTTTTAAAACCGAAAAAAGATTATTTTGATACATGTATATCATTTTTATACCAAATTTATGTCAAATTGTGGCAAATTTTATCTTTGTAGATAAAAAAACAAAGTAACCAGAAGTTCACATTGAAAATGAATCCCAAACTTTCCAATATTTTCAAAAACAAATTTGTTGAGGCACTCGCAAGACATCTTGTACAAAATCTATCTGGTTCAAAAGCGGTCAAGAGTGACCTTGGAGAATTCAACCTTGACATATATGACCACCAAAATCTAATCAGGTGCAGAACTTATGAACTAAATCTTTTCACAAGGGTACATGGGACATCTTGTACACCAGCATCACAAAGATCCAAGCACTCTCCCCACTTTATCATTGAAACTGATGAATGGTAGCTGCAATACATCAATCAGTTAGAGGAAATCTCTCTTTTGCCTGATATGCTGAATGTTAGACAAGAACACCTGAGGACCCAAGTTCAAATCCTTGTGGAGACTATAGAAATAAATAATCTCTCTTACATTGATGCCCAGGTAGGGACTCCAGAATAATACTTAGCATTGGCCTACAAACGTTACTGTGGCAGGCACTATAACCAAGGGAATTGTGCAGTTAGACAGAACTTCTATCTTGTTGGATCAGTTGAGTGTAAGTGTAGTTAGGTAGCAGTACCAGGTTCAATCCTGTGTGGAGATATTGAAATATATAAGGACCTCTGTTATAATTACATTTTTTGAATGATTAAGTTTCTCTGAAAATTTATGCCCCTTTTAGTGATATACATATCCTTGAAACAAGAGTCTGTGTGACACAGACTTACATTGACATTGAACTGGTATCATACTATATCTTTGTGACAAGTGTTAAAGTGATGTAGATTTCCATGGGCAAGGACAATGGCTCCTTCATGTACTATCAACAAGACAATAAACTTCCTGCAATTTCACTATAAATTTTCTGTCCTACCTGATCTAAACTTCCCCAGTTAATCTATTACCTATTTCCATTGTTTAGTTCTACAGAAATTTTTCTACAGTTGAATTATTCATTCAACAATAAAGTAGAATTACAGATAGTGATTCTTTGTCCTCAGGGCTATCACAACCCATTTTGGGACTGGGGCCCGGGGCCTGGGGGCCTTAGAATTGGGCAAAATAGTGGTGTTTTCTTTAGAATTGGGAAAACTTGGTGTCTAAATTGGGAAAAAGAGATACTATTTTGCATTGGGAATTCGGCCCCAAATCTGGCAGATCAAGAGCCCTGGTCCTGTAATAAGCACATACCCTGACTGACTGAGTAAGAGGTAACATGTTGGCATCTTGTAATAAGCCCACCTGTTTGCCTTGTCGGCTTAGTGCAGGATAAGTGCAATATTGTCTGTCTTATATAGTACAAACATACGATATTATTTGTACACATTACTCGCCTACATTAATTTTTTCGAAATTATTATTGTAATTCAAATTCACAGACAGACAGATGACAATGAAATTTGACCTCGTTGAAATCTGTGAAGGTCACAGGCTAATATTCTTTTTACAGAAATATCATTAAAGTTGTTTTTAAGCATTTATTCTAATTTTCTAATAATGATGGACAAGATGATAATTGACTTGTCCAAACTGAGACAAATTTTTGGTCTAAAAATAAACAAGAGTTATGATGTCAAACAGACAGATCGAAAGCCGTTACATTACTGTGTTTGGCGAAATTCACACTACTCCTTCTACAGTTACAGGAAGTGGACTCTTCACGAAATTGTTTGCATCCGTATAACAAGGATGATGATCATATCACCGTATACTGTCAAACCATAAGACTTGTACATTACAACACAAAATATAAGCATATGGGCCAATACAGAGATGTTGTGACATATCTTAACCTTACAAGGGACTTTAGTCTCTGGCTGTGACGAAACCCAAAACAGGGTTGGTTTGACCTTTTATAACACCACAACACATGTTACTACACATAAAAGCTTCGAGTTTGGTGTATCAGGGGCTACTCAATCTATTCTAAAACATTTACTTACAAATGCATTATTTTCAGATGAGAATCAGACTCGGTGGAATCACAGAATAGCTAGAAGAGGAAATCTCCTCAGACACAGAGAAGCAACTAAACCCTGGAGGATTCCAGAGAAGCTACTAGACTGTGCAAGTGACCTTGGAGAAACTACGTGAAACAGAATATTAAACGATTAGCTAGACCCTCAATTATGTGAAAGAAGCTTTCTATTGTAATAGTATATTCTATTATAAAAAGATTGGGTGCAGAATTTCCCTTAGAATCAATTGCCAAAAATGAACAAACAAGCAGTGAGAGCCCTGAATACATATCATACATACCTGTGGAAGGCCAATTTTCTCCATTGCAGAGAACCAATGGTTAATGTTGTCTGTGTGTCGGAAATGTAATCCTCGAGACTGAAGTAAAAGGGAAAACAACATTGATGATATAAATTTTTTCAAATGAATACACAATAAATGTATGGTAAGATTGGTTTTTGGTAGTGTTTGTCTTCTTGTAGACCTTTTAGTATTACTAAAGTCAACGTCGGGGGGGTGGGTGTGGGTGCTTGTCACTGGTCCTCTAACTCAAAATCAGGTGATGGCATTATTACAAGAAGACCAACACTTTACTTCCAACTCAAGAGTCTAGGGTGGGCTTATTAAAGGACCTCAATGGGCCAACACATAATCTCTGACTCAAAGTCAACTGATAAACTGATTACAAAATCTCAGAGGGCCAACACATTACCTTTGCATTAACATAAAGGTGGTGGGATTATTTGAGAACGGGATCATAATAATTCAAAAGCTATTTTCTTTTTTGTTGTTGTTTTTTAGTGGTTCAAATTTTTCGCTGGTTTTAGCAAATGATTGAAGCAAAATGATGTATTTATCACCCTAGTAATGAAATGAACAATTGTTTTCACTTTAAATCTTCTTTTTTTCAATACGGATATTTTTTGCAGTTTTATTACCGTATTTTCCTGGTTATAAGACGCAGCACTATTTAAGTCACAGAGCCAATTTTTAACAATTTTTTTCAATTTGATCCATATATTAGCCGCACCGGAATATAAGGCAATTTTAAAAAATCATCAGCGAAAACATGTAATATAAGTTCACAAATGATTTACACATGGATAATCCTTTATGTTATTGATGTGTATCAAAAACGTTAAATAGCAATTATCTAAACTGTTTATCTTGGGAGCCTCCAACGATGGTCTACGCACAGATATAGGCACTGATGCACGTTTTTTTTCTTAATCTCTCCATCAGTGTCTGTACTGTTAAATATTAGTGAAGGCCCTTGCATGCTTACAAAACTCTTATATACAATATGCCATTCTTATCGTAAACAAGCATGGCAGTTATTCTAGAATTTGACCCGATGACCTATTGATCCCAGGATGCAACAGACTATTGTAAACTTCTGCTATGGCTTCTGAAGCAACCACAAAAGTACAGGAGGTATTCTTGTAATTCATATTAAATAGCTTGATTGATTAAATCCATGAGAATGTTATTTCTATTTCAATCTTAAAATCATCCTGTATACGGTTGCAAATGACGGTTTTAGATAATCAGTTTCAGTCACAAACATGTGTCTCATACTGGTACACTTTTTTTTTTCATTCTTCCGATTTTTTTTTTGTCCACATGTACAGGTATATAAGCAGCATGCCTGACCACCAAGAAAAAAAGCAGTGGCTTATAATCTGGAAGATATGGTAAAAAATAACAAAATAGCTTATTATGGACCATGGGCTTATTACGAGATAATTAAGACCACATTGGTTACAACAACTAAGGATAATCCACCACACAACCAACAGAGCGGATGTTGTTCTCCAAAGACTGATTTTCTTTCTTATTAATGATCACAGGTGTTTCGTTACCCTATACAAAAGATTATATAATATTTTCATCCATCTTGGTTTCTATCGTATGGATTGAAGTCCCTTGTCTCTATGCAGTGCATGAGCTGATGTATTATCAACATGCACATGATAGAGAGACAGACCCACGATGGCAGAGTTGGCTGAGACAGTGCATCGTGTCAGACTGTCAGTGAGAGAAGCCAGCATTGAAGATTAAGTTGGTCTCCTGTGGCATCGCCTGTCTGTCGTGATCAACGTTCATCCTCACGTAAAGTGTGCTTGGTGAATGATCAAAGTCATGAACACTGAAAAGTTCTTAGAGCACCATTACAACTTTAGCAAATAATTTCTACACAACTGTTGTGACTAAAACGAAACCAATTAGAGATTTTAGATATAGACATGCCTGCCTGAATGTCTGGGGTGCATGTGTTTCTACCTGATACTTAAATAACATGCCAGGTTGTAAGTACAGTATAATTCATTTGGGACTTGCCTGCATAGTTTCGAAAAAAGGATTTGAAGGTAACATGCAGGTATGGATGAAAACAATGGAGGGTAGGGCATCCTCACTAATGGGCTGGTCATACTTCACATTTAGTATTCACTAGCTGTCAGCTTTAGTCCTCATACTTCCTAGAACACTCCATGCTCTTGTCTTTATTCAGAAATAACCAAATGCATGGTAGTAAGCCCGCCTTTATGTGTTGCCGTTATGTAGAACATATTTACATATGATTTTTATTGTCTTGCAATAACTCCTTCCCCGAACATTGAATTTTTATGTTCACCCTGTTGGGATTTTTACAAAATAAATAAAGTGCTGTATTGGTGCCAACTGGAGCAATCAACAGAAAATTGCCATTTTTATATGTAGCACATATGAATCATTAGCATGGAATATTTTTTAAAACCTTGACTCGTCTCTACTGGGAGAGTTCTTTGTCAGTTTCAACTGCATAAAGTCACACCAATCCATGATCAAAGCTCAATTAATCAAAATAATTTTAGCTGTCTTGGAGTAGTTGCTTTTGGTTTTGCTAAAAAGGGATCACAGTACTTTAAAATAAATTTATGGAAGAGGGGGAGGGAGGATGGAAATTGTTGCTGTTTTCCTTAGTTTCAGGAAAGTTATGAAGTTCTCAAAAACAGAAGGTCAAATTTTAATAGATTTGAATAGAAAAAGTGACATACAATTTTGAAAAAAAAAGATGCAGTATTTTGAACTATAATACAATTTTGAATTCATACAATTTACTGACTAAAAAAGATTATGAACTTCTTTATCGCTAGAGAATAAACAACACGCCAGTCTTACCTGAAATCGTGTCTGTTCTTTGTCATATATTCTTTTGAGGGGTACAATTTGAGGGTTCAGAAAGTGTCCCAGCTTTGCCAGGATGACACCATTACGTAGGCCTTCTTCAAGTTCTGTAGTAGGAGGAAGCTCTTCATTAATACAGGCCTCTATCCACCTATAAACACAGAATACATGATTAGTATCAGTTTGCAGATTTTTCATGGCTTTTTGAAAGATGATCATATTTATTTAGTGATAAGTCCAGTATTCGGGGCAACAAATAACTTGTGAGTTAAAGTAGGACAGTTGCATTATTACAGGACAATGAAATAGCACTTGTTTTTTCTACTAAAATATTGGATGTGGGTGGGCTTATTACAAATCATGGACTTATTTTGGGATATGGTATATCAGAAATATTGTGACTTGTGTCTGTCAAAAAAATAATAATATTGAGAACTACAGCATCAAAGGGATTATATAGATCCAATAGGATACACTAATGAAATTGAAAGTTGTGCGTGTTATGTATTTTCAATTGTTCTATTTACCTAACACTACCAAAACTTAATTACAGTGGAATTTTATTACACAGGTATATGTACCTCTAAATCTGAATGTAAATAATTCAGTTTTCAGGAAGTTAGCTTCAGTAACAGGTTTCCCATTAATAGCACATAGTGACACACCTAATTACCTGGTACTTATGCAAACTTCCTACAGTATCAGGACAAGGTAACTATCCATGACTGACCAATCAGGGCCTGGGAACTATCCATGACTGACCAATCAGGGCCTGGGAGCTATCCAAGACTGACAAATCAGGGCCTGGTAACTATCCATGACTGACCAATCAGGGCCTGGGAACTATCCAAGACTGACAAATCAGGGCCTGGGAACTATCCATGACTGACCAATCAGGGCCTGGGAACTATCCATGACTGACCAATCAGGGCCTGGGAACTATCCATGACTGACCAATCAGGGCCTGGGAACTATCCAAGACTGACAAATCAGTGCCTGGGAACTATCCATGACTGACCAATCAGGGCCTGGGAACTATCCATGACTGACCAATCAGGGCCTGGTAACTATCCATGACTGACCAATCAGGGCCTGGGGACTATCCAAGACTGACAAATCAGTGCCTGGGAACTATCCATGACTGACCAATCAGGGCCTGGGAACTATCCATGACTGACCAATCAGGGCCTGGGAACTATCCATGACTGACCAATCAGGGCCTGGGAACTATCCATGACTGACGAATCAGGGCCTGGGAACTATCCATGACTTACCAATTAAAGCATGGAGATATCCATGATCACCAGTAAGGACATGGAAATTATCCATGACTGACAAATCAGGGCCTGGGAACTATCCAAGACTAACCAATTAGAGCATGGAGATATCCATGATCACAAATAAGAACATGGAAATTATCCAAGACTGACCTATCAGGGCATGGAAACTATCCATGATTGACCTATCAGGGCATGGAAACTATCCATGATTGACCAATCAGGACATGGATACTATCCATGAATGATGGACCAGGGAACGAAACCATTATTGATTCTCAGGACATCACTGTTGTTGTGCACCACAGGAAAAATGAACAAAATCAGACAAAATCTATGACCTTTGTTGTTCACCAATGATAAAATAAGCCTATTACAACAGGTACAATGGTGCTGTAATGAGATCTACTGTGTTGTAGTGTATGTCAAATGAACTTATCATTATCCAAAGAGCATTCTTTCTGAGTTGTTAATGTGTAATGTGAAATTTCCACAATAAAAGCAATGCCGTCTTGCTGAATGGATGTATTCTGTCCACTTTTATAGACAGTTGTATAACATATACATTGGGATGTTATATAATGGAATCGGGACGATATTACGCATTGTAACTTCTCTATATACAATGTCCCTCACATGTTTTATCTCTGTGTTCTGCAATACATGTAATTTCACTGATTACATTTGCATTACCACTTACTATCATCAAGCTAGGGCCCAGATTATCAAAATCCTAGGCTTTTATATACAAAGTATGTGGCAAAAAAGGTTCTCCTTATTAGAGTTCATATATATCAAGGCCATCATGAGACTTTTGCTGATTCAAACGTTTGTGACAAAAATTAAGAAATATTTTGGATAAATTTCAATAAACAGCTAGGTAACAAATCAGAAACATTTCAACCAACTTGAAATTAAGGCAGTCATTTTCAACTTTCATTTTCAAAATGAATCATAAGCAATTTGGTTTACACCTTACAAAAAAGTTATTTATCAGCATCTCTGAAGTAGTCATTTAAGTGTCTGACAAATCAAACCCAATCCCAATGCTTTTTTTACAAAACATCAAGATATCGTTCTTACAATTGCTACCATAACACGACTGCTTTTAGAACAGTGATTTCCATAGTCTAGGCTTTCTGTCGATCTAGACTGCTAAAAATGGAATACCCAAATTAAATGTACAAAGCATTGTATTCCCTACAGAAATGATGTTATATAAGAATAATAAATGTGAAATATTTAGGTGTAACTTTCAACTAAAATTAAATTATCAATTTCAGTAACGGTCTCTGGAGGAAAGCCGTGGAGAAATTAAATATTATTTCAAGGATGTATCACCTGATCAATGGAAACCAGACTTCAGTTATACATTCAATTTAAAACACATGAATGTTATCAAATACAGAAAGCACGTCCAATGATACATAAAACCAACTCTACTCACAAACTACTCACATCAAAATAACTACAAAAGAAAGTCACAACAAACTCTGCTTAGATCAAACGGTACTCAAAACAAACGGTACTCAAAACAAACGGTACACACTACAGTTTCTAAAACAAACTCTGCAAACAAACGGTACTCAAAACAAACGGTGCTCAAAACAAACTGTACTCACTACAGATTCTACTCACAACAAACTCTGCTTACAACAAACGGTACTCAAAACAAACGCATCTCAAAAACAAAACAAACAGATTCTACTAACAACAAACTGTTACAACAAACGGTACTCAAAACACACTGTACTACTCAAAACAAACTGTACTCACTACAGATTCTACTCACAACAAACTGCTTACAACAAACGGTACTCAAAACAAACGCATCTCAAAAACAAACTGTACACACTACAGATTCTACTAACAACAAACTCTGCTTACAACAAACGGTACTCAAAACAAACGGTACTCAAAACAAACTGTACACACTACAGTTTCTACTCACAACAAACTCTGCTTACAACAAACGGTACTCAAAACAAACGGTACTCAAAACAAACTGTACACACTACAGTTTCTACTCACAACAAACTCTGCTTACAACAAACGGTACTCAAAACAAACGCATCTCAAAAACAAACTGTACACACTACAGTTTCTACTAACAACAAACTCTGCTTAGATCAAACGGTACTCAAAACAAACAGAACTCAAAAACAAACTGTACACACTACAGATTCTACTCACAACAAACTCTGCTTACAACAAACGGTACTCAAAACAAACAGAACTCAAAAACAAACTGTACACACTACAGATTCTACTAACAACAAACTCTGCTTACAACAAACGGAATTAAAAACAAACTGTACACAGTACAAATTCTCACAACAAACTTTGCCACAATGAACTGCCTGCAAAAAAAATACTCACAAAACCAATACTTGCAACACTCTTCTCATGTTGTTCTACTCACAACATAACACAGGCTTTTAAACTCCATTCAATGCAGAGTATACATGGATCAATCACCATAAAAAACTGTACACCAAACTTATTGACAACCTTTTTAACTCACTGTAATCAACCTCCTATACAGATAGAATCAGTGAAATCAGAGGACATTGGAATTTTTTGTATCATCAGAGATTTCTAACAAATTCTACAGCTCTTCAAAGGCACGAAATCCTTTTCTGGAAATGAGAATTTTTTCAACCAAATCAAGTAACAATCTTAAGCTACTAAAGTAACACTGCAATAAAACTTGTCTAGCGTGATTTGTCCCAGCTATAATGTTCTCTCATCTGTATCAATGAATGATTTTTTTCTTCATGTTTTTCTGTCTATTCACAGAGGAACTTACAACTGTTTTACTTCATGCATCAACAATCAGCCATGATTTCTCAACCTTGAATAAGTATTATACAGATCTTTGTAATCTGAATGATTGAGTTGGTGCAGGATAAAATCTCTCTGTTTTAGTGTTTACTTTTATTTACAGAAACATAAAACGATTATGGCAATGTGTAGCTGTCTACTAAATAACGGGACTAGAAAGACAACAGCTGAATGTGAGGTTTTAGCAACTGACTAAACTAGGCTGCAACAAGTAGAGCAGATTACCAAGCCATCAATGCCATGGCAAATTAAAGCTCAAAACAAGTCCTTTGGATCTCTAGAGACTATTTCCAAGGTATATTTCAAACAATATAATTTCTAGAACCCATTTTGGTAGAATTACATCACCACCTATCACTCGTTAATTCCTAAAACACATTCATGCTTAAACATTATATTGGAAATGGCACAAGCACCAAATTAAACCAATGCCATTGGATGAGAGTTTAGATTAAAATGATATACAGTTCACATATATCTACAAGCAATCTTGCGTAACTTTCGATGACCAAACACCATAAAACATACAAATTATCACAGTGATTTGAAAATAAGCACCATAATTTTACTATAGTGTTATTCCAAGCAATGGATCAGTCATTCAATATCTTACTAAAGAACAGGACTTTCACATTTCTAAATCTATCCTAGTCCTGGAGATCAGGATTTTTATATTACCAAATCTATCCTAGTCCTGGAGATCAGGATTTTTATATTACCAAATCTATCCTAGTCCTGGAGATCAGGATTTTTATATTACCAAATCTATCCTAGTCCTGGAGATCAGGATTTTTATATTACTTATTCTATCCTAGTCCTGGAGATCAGGATTTTTATATTACCAAATCTATCCTAGTCCTGGAGATCAGGATTTTTATATTACCAAATCTATCCTAGTCCTGGAGATCAGGATTTTTATATTACTAAATCTATCCTAGTCCTGGAGATCAGGATTTTTATATTACTAATTCTATCCTAGTCCTGGAGATCAGGATTTTTATATTACCAAATCTATCCTTGCCAACTGGGG